TGGCTTTTATATTGGGGGGGACATGTCCCCCCCGTCCCCCCCGCTTCCTACGCCGCTGCTTCTACCAATCTCATGATCCGACCCTTTGTGGGCTTGCTGAATGCAGACAGACTTTTGGAGTCTGATAGGCCTATAAGTCGATGACCTGAGAACAATATTTGACAGCTACATTAATGTAGGATATCTGTGAAGATAACCAGTCATCCAGGTCATGTTCACTTTAGGCAAGTGACGTGACGCCTCTCATCCAAGAGGCTTCCTCAGTTCTAACTAATGATGGGGAGCACTGCTCTGAAATTTAACTTTTCAAGCTTGATTACTGTAGGAGGGTTCAACCCTCATGAATAAAAGTGAGATGATAATGAATAGTAACATGCAAAATCACCATATGGTTCACTAATATAAAGCAGGCCATTCCTGTACTTGGAAGGAAGGTGCTGATTCATGCCTGTCCATATCAGAGTCACATTGACAGTAAATAAACAGAGTAGGAATTATTTCTTCCTCAATACAGCTAAAAGCAGAGTGCTTGGCATTGCATTTTTTGTCAAAAAGCAATTATGGAAACTATTGTGAGAAAAAATAAGACTGGATTCACCAGGATCCTCCATAGGATGCTAGTATGTAAAGCCTCTAAGCTGCTGCTCTCAAGCCACTTTACTCATGTGTTCACCCTCCTACAGTATCTGGATACTTTACAGCTTTAGATTTGAGTTGAAGTCTTTGCTGCCTCTGAAGGACACCATGCTTTGATGCAAAATGTTAGATTATCACTCTTCAGGAACTTTGTGTTACATTCTCAGCATTCCTCAGCTCCCCTTTGTTCATAATGCTTCATTTATATCATATTTATATATTTCAGCCACAAAGATGAAAACAAAAGGGTTGTGTGCTACAAGCTGTGACTGAGCAGAAAATGAAAAGTTGCTAAAAAGAAAAAGAGAAGTACAAGATTTAAACTAATGCTTCTAGCTTCAGGTTAACTTACATCTTTAATAATTCTTCTGATCTGAAACTGATCAAGTAAGAGTCGGGACTGTATCCGTTAAATCAATCCATCCATCCATCTATTATCTGACATGCTTGTCCCAATTGGGGTAGCGAGGGGTGCTGGTGCCTATCTCCAGCTGTGTACGGGCAAGAGGCAGGGTACACTCTGGACAGGTCGCCAGATTCGTTAAATCTTTGTTGTGAATTAAAGAATACATTCAAATCATTGTTTTGGAAAATGAAGGAATGTGACAGTATCTTTCCACTTGTTCAGCATCAGCTGAATACTTCTGCATAAATAGAAACTTTTTCAGCTGCTATTTGAAAGCCATGAAAAAATACTGCAAGATCAAAAATCCTGGAACACTATAGAATCTGATCTTAAACGCATTTGGCACAGCTATGCTTTAAAAATTCAATGTATTTGTTTTTTTATTTTTATCTTTGACTCACTCACCTTTTGCCATAAATTCCCTGAGATGTTTTCCATGATTCGGCAGAGTTACTGTTCAGCTGTCATCACAGTGATGTTTTGGTCCCTTGTGGCGTCTCACTCCTCCACTGTCCACTTCACAGAGGGATTTAATGCAACTCTTAATGAGGTCTCTCTAGAGTTAAAGGGCTTAGTTTGTTACAATTGTCCATCCATCTTATGACCCAGAGAACCAGCAGCTCAGCTCCGTCCATCTGCTGCAGACTCTGTTTGTTGTATGCATGTGGGGCCAGCAGTGAGTGTGTATCAAAGCTCTTATTGTTGCTTTGAACAGGGGACAAAGACACATGCATGCATTTCTCAGAACACAAAATAAAAAAAAAAAAACATACACAAAGGGACTCAGACACCTTGCTCCCAGAGGAATGCCCAATCTGAGGGAATCTGAAGGATCTGAGGTCTTATCTACAGAAATAAATCTGGAATCTGGAGGGGAATTATTTATGAGACAGTCCAAGAAGCTATTTTTCTCTGGGAAGGGGGAGAGGGGCTTCAGCTCTGGTTTCAGTGTACCTGCTGTGGTTGCATGCTGTGCAGCATAACTGCAGCGTCACTGCCAGTGTGATTCAGCAGAGAGATACTAGGTCAGGACAGTGTGGGATTACCAGGTGGGACGTCGCCCTCATCTGGTAACACTGACGTTTTAATCTCCAGCAGATTAACCAGTGTTTTTTTTTTTTTTTTATTCTCATTATTTTCCCCCACTTATCTGTTATTTGGTAGGCTAGATTTTAATTCAATCTTATGGTAACAGTCTGGATTAGTAGCCAGATTACAGTATTATCAAATAAATAAGAAAGCATGTTAACACAAGTACATATAATGCCCATCTTCTTTAGTTTTAGATAGAATTAAAAAAAATGTGAACTTTCATTGTTCTGTGAGTTTTTATTTTTAATTATTAATCTGTATTAGAAACAAAGACAAACAGCCTGAAGTCACAGGGACTGAGAATCAGCCAAGAAAGACTGAACAGAGTGTTTGTTGTTCTTATTGTTGAGAAATTTGGTCAGCAGGATTCCATCCCTCCTCCTGGTCTTCATCAATACTGCTGACATTCTGCTGACTAACCCCCCCACTCATTCAAAAACGCACAGTCACATCATCAGGACTTCAATGGACAATGAGTTGCACGGGTTTAATCGGGCATTATCTTCAAGAGTAGGATGAGTTGCTATAATCTGTCAGTTTTAAACATATCAAACTCTTTTAAAACAGTGAGAAAAAAAAAGGTTCTTCAAAGGCACTGCACGCTATTTAGATTCCCAACCTGTTTAAATATAATAGCAATTTAATATTTATTCCAGACAATAATATATAAAACTGAATTTGAAACCAAATCTTTAGCTTCTAAAGCTATATAACACATTTTCAATATCCAGATTCCACATAAAAACAAATCAAATCACAAAAAGGGAAATACATACACTAACAAATAGGGAATCACAACTCCCTCTTGGAATTCAGATTTTACACCAGTGCAGCATTTCTTTGTTAATACACTGACTGAGTGGCATAGAGTGGCTGTCATTGAAGCTGTTTGCAGCTTGTTCTTACAGGGATCGCTAACCTTAGAAAGCATGAGAATCTATTTATGTACCAACCCTGTCTAAAAGCCACAACTCAAAGCCTCATATCAGGAAGACTAGAGAGTCTAATCAGTGCACAGCTAACAGAGGCATGTGGCAGTGCAGCTGTGGCTTTGACACATTTCCCACAGCATTCTAATGATAACCGAGTGGGGAGCTGTGCTTTGAGGAACAAAGGAGCAAAATAGGGGTAAAAGACAAAAGTTTATTCTCAGGTTAAAAGTTTACATCTACAGGAAAATAAATAGTACCCTGCAAAGGTATGCATGATCCTTTCTAAATTTTTTGAAACTTTTAATGTTTGTTTATTTTTATTTTTTTGTTATTGTTTTTTTTAGCGCTTGGTGGGTTTTGTCCAAAAAACAAAATAAATGTAGTGGGAGAAAAATAATTCACAGTTCACAGTTTAAAAAAAATGAATTAACTAAAACGTTGGGTTTGCTTCTGCATTTAGTCCTCTTTAATCTGACAACCTTAATAGAATGCAGTTTGGTAAACTGCCATCATATGTAACCTGGTTAAATGTAGTCCTGCTGTGTCAGATTGATCTCAGTGTGCATACAGCTACACTCTGAAGGCTTCGGATGCATGTTAGAAAACATCAGAAACTGAAAAAAGCAACATAGAAATCAGGGGATATATATATATATATATATATATATATATATATATAAACTCAACTATGCTAAATGAAACCCCAAATATAACCTTTTGGACTACATGGAAATCCCTTTATAGTGTAAAAAAAACGCACCCTAAAAGTCACATTTAAGACCTAAGCCATTTGGTAAAACATGGTGGTGAAGGGATCATAGTGTAGGGATGCATTTATTAAGCAGAGGCAGGGGAACTGGGCAAAGTAAATGAAAAAATGGATGGAGCTACAAGGTGAAGAATTATCTGAATGTCAAACTCTAGTATTTGGGGACCTCTAACCTGGAGCTTTTCGATATCTCCCTGGTCCCACACCTGAAATCAAATGGCTTTATTACCTCCTCAGTTGAAATCAAATTCTAGAGTTATGCAAAGGATCTAATTATTTAATCAAAGTGTGATGAAGCAGAGACATGTGTGCAAAAGGCAGGACACCCTAGGACTGGATTTTAATACCCCTGTGCTAGAGGCTGCAAAAGACTTCAGACTGGAGCTCAGTTTCACCTTCAAGCAAAACAACCCTGAACGTAGCACACCAGCCAGTCCTGAAATGGGAGAGTAAAGAGCATGGTTGGAGGATTGGCAGTCTAGCGCTTAGGGCATAGAGCTTGGAATCCTGAGGTTCTGAATTCAAGCCCCACTCCCACAGACTGCCACTCTAGATCTCTGAACAAAGACCCTTAACCACTGATTGCTCCCTGGGCGCCACACGATGGCAGCCCACTGCTCCCCAAGGGGATGGGTGAAATGCAGCAGTAAATTTTTCCTATAAAGTTAAATTATTATTATTATTACAAGGGCCTAAAAAAAGTCCACCTCTAAACCCATTCTAACATATTTGGTAAATTTGAAAACAGATGTTACATACTCTCCAATAATTCAGTTTTTCTGCAAAGCCTGTAGAGACATACAACAGGCTTATAGATGGGCTAAAATAATAATTTTCCCTTGTGAAATGAAAATAAATAAAAAAAACAACAATGTGTAATTGTCTTTCTATTTGATTTTAATACACTGATCACATTTTGGTCACATTTTGCTTATTGTGGCTGTAATGGGGAAAAAAGGTAAAAAAAAAAAAAAAAATATGTAAATTTAGGAAGCTCTGCGTGTGTTTATTGCAAAGACCTCTTGTTTAAACCATAAAAAGATCAACTTTTTGGGGAGGAAACAAGACCAGTTAGAATCTGAACAGCAACACATGACCTTCCAATTGTTCCAGAAAGAGCAAATATTAATCTAGCCTTGACCTGGACAAGCTCATCAGAATAGAAACTGCTTTATGAAAATAAGGCCCCATAATATCCTCAAAGTTACAGTTACAGTTAAATGTAAAAACACTCTAACACAGCTAGATCTTTTAAAATGATTTATCATAGGAAGTTATTTTCCACTTGCAGGTCTTCCATATTCTGTGTTGATTCAAAGTAAATGATAGCCTTAATTTGTCTAAGTGTTTATATGTTGTTTATACTTTGGACCACAGCTGCAATGAGGGCAGCACCTTTCCCACTGCCTTCCTCTGACGGCAGGAACGTCACATCGCACTGAGGAGCCATAACTCTTACTGTTTCTTTCACGACCTGAGAGAAACTACAAGCAGCAGGAGAAACAAAAAAGAAAGCATTGAGGATGCAGTTTGGAGATTCTTTTCATACATGACTCATGCAGCAGCAGTGATAGAGTAACTCACTGTGGATGCAGTTTGTACAGAGCACCGTCTACCCCCACAGTGATGCTCAGACGCTCCAGTTTGCGGTCTTCTCTGATCTTATCCACCACTGCTGCCATTCCTGCACCACACAGCTGAGCTGCACGGCGTGACACCGCTCCACACACCTGCACAACAACGAGAACCCTTATCCTTATTGCAAAAGTGACCAGCTGTGCCAGATGATACGATAGCTACACAGAAGTCATTACTTAACATCAAGATAAGGTTGCACAATTATTTAGAAAAGCTTTGAAAAGTTCAAACTTTTAACCTCTGTGGGCTATTTTAGTAGGTTTAAACTAGAAAAGAGGCCTGCATTCGACTGGGTTTGAACTCCGACCCACAATAAAGGCCACTACAGGATGGCCTCAGGGGGCCCATCTAGTCAAAGCAAATTCCTAACCACACAGAGGGCATCGACATGCAGAGGATATGACCTTGATGGCTGTTGAGGTTTCATCAGAGTGATTTTAAACACTTGGTAAAGATTTACTTTTATAAGAAGAGGTTTCAAGTAACAAAGCACAAATACTTTGTTACTGTACTTAAGCACACTTTTTAGATATCTTTACTTTACTTCATTACTTATTTTTCTTCCTACTTCTGACTGCTACTCATTACATTTTCACACAATTATCTGTACTTTCTATTGGATGAGTCGTATAACGCAAACACTCATTGGTTAGTTAAAGGCAATCATCAGAAGCAAGCAGGTGTTCTTCAAACTGCAAACGTGAATTGTCTATGCCATGCTACAATGTTGGATTCAGAAAAAGATGTCAAAATGTCTGAAAGGTCGGACACAGGCGAGAGCGTATCGGGAGATGGAGACCAATAAGACCTCCCTCATCCTTGGCCCTAACTCAAAGAATTTTTCGAAATAGTCAAAAAATTTAGCTTTCAATTCATATAGTGGCATCTAGCTGTTTTTTAAGGGTTTCTTTGTACTTTTATACTTTAAGTAGTTTTTGGAGCTCATACTTTTTCACTTTGACTTGAGTAAAGAGATCAAGTTGATACTTCAACTTTTACCAGAGTGTTTTTAAACTGCAGAATCTATACTTCTACTCAAGTAACAAATGTGTGTACTTTTGACACCACTGTTTCTAAGTAATCTTAATTTGATCATTTACAAATTCCAAAACTTTAAAAATAGTTATAGTTTGTTTTACTTTAAATAGATTGTATTGATTGTGGCAGAGTCCAGAGGAGAATACTGTGTTGATTTAAGAGTATTTGTTCGAAATCACCAGAAAAAAATTTGTATGAAAATGATGCTCAGCATTTGGGTAATTCTTATGGGCAGAGACATAATGTTTTATTTATTCATAGCAGGATTTTCTGATGCCTTTAAGATCAGAACAGAAACAGTTTTGTAAAAATTAGAAACTTTAATGAAAGTCTGAATGTTACTCTAACATTAGGATATGTATTGTCATTTAAAAGATATAGTGTAATTCAAATAATACAAAATACACAATATATTGGTGTAAATACTTATTTTTTTTACATTTCTTTGAGGGGTTAAATTATATAAAAGAACTTTGCTTTGCTAGAGATAAATTATTCCTGCTAAAATCACGAAAATGCATCTTGCATGACGTCATTACTCAGCATTTTAAAAGGTGTCTGCATTGTTAAATCCTTAGGCTTTTCCTTGGTGCTCTTCTCACTGTTTGAGTGAGAACTAACACCTGAGTGGGATCAGAGCCTGGTAAGGGATTTAAAAAGGTCTCAATTAAAAGGCACTGCAGAATGGTCCCACAGTGAAGAATATTNGAAGGCTTCGGATGCATGTTAGAAAACATCAGAAACTGAAAAAAGCAACATAGAAATCAGGGGATATATATATATATATATATATATATATATATATATAAACTCAACTATGCTAAATGAAACCCCAAATATAACCTTTTGGACTACATGGAAATCCCTTTATAGTGTAAAAAAAACGCACCCTAAAAGTCACATTTAAGACCTAAGCCATTTGGTAAAACATGGTGGTGAAGGGATCATAGTGTAGGGATGCATTTATTAAGCAGAGGCAGGGGAACTGGGCAAAGTAAATGAAAAAATGGATGGAGCTACAAGGTGAAGAATTATCTGAATGTCAAACTCTAGTATTTGGGGACCTCTAACCTGGAGCTTTTCGATATCTCCCTGGTCCCACACCTGAAATCAAATGGCTTTATTACCTCCTCAGTTGAAATCAAATTCTAGAGTTATGCAAAGGATCTAATTATTTAATCAAAGTGTGATGAAGCAGAGACATGTGTGCAAAAGGCAGGACACCCTAGGACTGGATTTTAATACCCCTGTGCTAGAGGCTGCAAAAGACTTCAGACTGGAGCTCAGTTTCACCTTCAAGCAAAACAACCCTGAACGTAGCACACCAGCCAGTCCTGAAATGGGAGAGTAAAGAGCATGGTTGGAGGATTGGCAGTCTAGCGCTTAGGGCATAGAGCTTGGAATCCTGAGGTTCTGAATTCAAGCCCCACTCCCACAGACTGCCACTCTAGATCTCTGAACAAAGACCCTTAACCACTGATTGCTCCCTGGGCGCCACACGATGGCAGCCCACTGCTCCCCAAGGGGATGGGTGAAATGCAGCAGTAAATTTTTCCTATAAAGTTAAATTATTATTATTATTACAAGGGCCTAAAAAAAGTCCACCTCTAAACCCATTCTAACATATTTGGTAAATTTGAAAACAGATGTTACATACTCTCCAATAATTCCGTTTTTCTGCAAAGCCTGTAGAGACATACAACAGGCTTATAGATGGGCTAAAATAATAATTTTCCCTTGTGAAATGAAAATAAATAAAAAAAACAACAATGTGTAATTGTCTTTCTATTTGATTTTAATACACTGATCACATTTTGGTCACATTTTGCTTATTGTGGCTGTAATGGGGAAAAAAGGTTAAAAAAAAAAAATGTAAATTTAGGAAGCTCTGCGTGTGTTTATTGCAAAGACCTCTTGTTTAAACCATAAAAAGATCAACTTTTTGGGGAGGAAACAAGACCAGTTAGAATCTGAACAGCAACACATGACCTTCCAATTGTTCCAGAAAGAGCAAATATTAATCTAGCCTTGACCTGGACAAGCTCATCAGAATAGAAACTGCTTTATGAAAATAAGGCCCCATAATATCCTCAAAGTTACAGTTACAGTTAAATGTAAAAACACTCTAACACAGCTAGATCTTTTAAAATGATTTATCATAGGAAGTTATTTTCCACTTGCAGGTCTTCCATATTCTGTGTTGATTCAAAGTAAATGATAGCCTTAATTTGTCTAAGTGTTTATATGTTGTTTATACTTTGGACCACAGCTGCAATGAGGGCAGCACCTTTCCCACTGCCTTCCTCTGACGGCAGGAACGTCACATCGCACTGAGGAGCCATAACTCTTACTGTTTCTTTCACGACCTGAGAGAAACTACAAGCAGCAGGAGAAACAAAAAAGAAAGCATTGAGGAGGCAGTTTGGAGACTCTTTTTAAACATGACTCATGCAGCAGCAGTGATAGAGTAACTCACTGTGGATGCAGTTTGTACAGAGCACCGTCTACCCCCACAGTGATGCTCAGACGCTCCAGTTTGCGGTCTTCTCTGATCTTATCCACCACTGCTGCCATTCCTGCACCACACAGCTGAGCTGCACGGCGTGACACCGCTCCACACACCTGCACAACAACGAGAACCCTTATCCTTATTGCAAAAGTGACCAGCTGTGCCAGATGATACGATAGCTACACAGAAGTCATTACTTAACATCAAGATAAGGTTGCACAATTATTTAGAAAAGCTTTGAAAAGTTCAAACTTTTAACCTCTGTGGGCTATTTTAGTAGGTTTAAACTAGAAAAGAGGCCTGCATTCGACTGGGTTTGAACTCCGACCCACAATAAAGGCCACTACAGGATGGCCTCAGGGGGCCCATCTAGTCAAAGCAAATTCCTAACCACACAGAGGGCATCGACATGCAGAGGATATGACCTTGATGGCTGTTGAGGTTTCATCAGAGTGATTTTAAACACTTGGTAAAGATTTACTTTTATAAGAAGAGGTTTCAAGTAACAAAGCACAAATACTTTGTTACTGTACTTAAGCACACTTTTTAGATATCTTTACTTTACTTCATTACTTATTTTTCTTCCTACTTCTGACTGCTACTCATTACATTTTCACACAATTATCTGTACTTTCTATTGGATGAGTCGTATAACGCAAACACTCATTGGTTAGTTAAAGGCAATCATCAGAAGCAAGCAGGTGTTCTTCAAACTGCAAACGTGAATTGTCTATGCCATGCTACAATGTTGGATTCAGAAAAAGATGTCAAAATGTCTGAAAGGTCGGACACAGGCGAGAGCGTATCGGGAGATGGAGACCAATAAGACCTCCCTCATCCTTGGCCCTAACTCAAAGAATTTTTCGAAATAGTCAAAAAATTTAGCTTTCAATTCATATAGTGGCATCTAGCTGTTTTTTAAGGGTTTCTTTGTACTTTTATACTTTAAGTAGTTTTTGGAGCTCATACTTTTTCACTTTGACTTGAGTAAAGAGATCAAGTTGATACTTCAACTTTTACCAGAGTGTTTTTAAACTGCAGAATCTATACTTCTACTCAAGTAACAAATGTGTGTACTTTTGACACCACTGTTTCTAAGTAATCTTAATTTGATCATTTACAAATTCCAAAACTTTAAAAATAGTTATAGTTTGTTTTACTTTAAATAGATTGTATTGATTGTGGCAGAGTCCAGAGGAGAATACTGTGTTGATTTAAGAGTATTTGTTCGAAATCACCAGAAAAAAATTTGTATGAAAATGATGCTCAGCATTTGGGTAATTCTTATGGGCAGAGACATAATGTTTTATTTATTCATAGCAGGATTTTCTGATGCCTTTAAGATCAGAACAGAAACAGTTTTGTAAAAATTAGAAACTTTAATGAAAGTCTGAATGTTACTCTAACATTAGGATATGTATTGTCATTTAAAAGATATAGTGTAATTCAAATAATACAAAATACACAATATATTGGTGTAAATACTTATTTTTTTTACATTTCTTTGAGGGGTTAAATTATATAAAAGAACTTTGCTTTGCTAGAGATAAATTATTCCTGCTAAAATCACGAAAATGCATCTTGCATGACGTCATTACTCAGCATTTTAAAAGGTGTCTGCATTGTTAAATCCTTAGGCTTTTCCTTGGTGCTCTTCTCACTGTTTGAGTGAGAACTAACACCTGAGTGGGATCAGAGCCTGGTAAGGGATTTAAAAAGGTCTCAATTAAAAGGCACTGCAGAATGGTCCCACAGTGAAGAATATTATGTCTGACCACCTGAACAAGTCCATTCTGAGCTCAGACTGCAAGATGCTTTTAAAGANCTGAAAAGCTTCTTCATGTAAACCCTGGGGTGTGCTGTCCAGGGTGGGGCTATTGCTCAGGACAGACCACCCGTCTATCACAGTACAACACACAGACCCACAGGATAAACACACACACACACACACACACACACACACCTGACCTGGGGTTCATTTAAAGTGACCCTCTGACATAACAAGTAGGTTTTGGGCTATAGGGAGAGAGCTGCAGTGCCCAGGTAAAACCACAATCTTGAAAACGTAAAATGTGATGCAGAGAGCGTCCTCGGCTGGAATTTGAACCCAGTAAATTATTTCTGCAAGGATATAGTGGAAATACCTTTGAAAACACTTCCAAAAATTTCCCTTCCAGTTTGAAATATGATAAACAAATAATAAAATATTTCCTTTAAGCCCCTGGAAACCTGGAAAGATTGATCCTTCTTAAGTTTTAATCAGATCAGATAATAGCATTTTAAATGCCCCTTCCTGGAAAAAAAATAATAAAATGCATATGAAGTTAAATTAGCCTAGTCCTTAATAGTTAGTGAATTCGTAATTATTTTGAAAGATGAGGCATGAAAAACAATTAGATTTTGCCCTTTAGTGAGCTTCATCCATCTTTCCTTTTTTAAATTTTTCTTTTTGTTCTTCTCTGATTTCAGTTTGAAACGTTTCAATACATGTGAGCATCTTCAAGGGGAATTTTTCAGGGGTAAAGAAAATAACATTAGAGCCAATTTTTTTCCACCAAGACCTTTTTGTAGTTTCACTACTATGAAAAGCTGGGTGGTGTGAAGTAAAGGGATGCATAGGCATAAAGAGTCGTAAAATAAGAAATCCCGTCAGTCTATTCCAGACCCTAATCTGGTCTTAAGGCGCCAGTGAAATAATCAAATATGACCCCAGGTTTAAAAAAAACAAAACAAAACAAAAAAAATACCAGAGATTCCATGGAGTCATATTTAGTTAAATAAACAGCAATAAAATAAAATAAAATAGAAAGATAAGAACAGAGACAACAAAAGAACTCGAGTAAAATCCAAGTATTCCAGGGGATGCAATATAATAGTACCAAAGCTAGGCTATGTTGCTCTAAGCCTATCTATCAAACTCTGTTTTTTTAAGGGGAGTTGAAATACTTGCCAAAATAAAATAAAAAAAGAAGGAGGAAATTTTTAAGGAAGTGTGTGAGGACAGCAAAAGGATTCCACTTGGTGGGGGCTTTAATGGAAAAGTCCTAAACCCTATATGTAACCCACTGGGACTTGAAAATAATCCACAAAGCTCTGCCTGCATATCTTTCCATCAGGGGGGGATCAGTTTGTTGCTTCATTCAAACAACAGGAAGAAAAGTTTCCATCAGACAGCTGTTTCAGCGACGAGAAAAGAAAAACAAAACAACGAATTGTTCCCTAAAACAAGGAAATGTTATCATGAACAGTTTATTACATCATTACATCATTATATATTTAATTTCAATTACCTTGAGAGTATAAATACAAAATATAAAACTAGTTTGTTGCTGCCACCTTCTGGTCATCCCAACTGTAGGCCTAAACTCATCCACAATTTACCTATTGTGGGACAGTAAAGGGATATTCTATTCTATTCTATTCTATTCTATTCTATCTATTTCTTGTTAAACTTTTATTGGAGCTAAGAGGGAAAAGGTCAACATTTAAACTTTGGGTTTTCTCTATTTGATTGTCGTCAATTTCAATCGTTTTGCACCACATTTAAATTCCAATTTAACCAAACAACGAAACAACAATAGGAAGACATTCTATTTACCAACGGTCAAAGTGTGTTTTCTCAGCATTATGACAAACTACTAATGGGAATGTCAGAGTCTCTAAAGATACTTTTAGTCTTTTATAAATACAAAAAAAGTCAATGACAAATGTCACTGAATAAAGGTCTGTGACCTTCTACAGCCATTAAACATGGCTTTGACTCGTTGCATTTTAGCTTCCTACCTCTTTGACAATAATGCTGTCGCCACTTGTGCCACGCAGCCCCAGTCGCTGCAGTATAGATCTGACCTGCAGCAGAGCCAAGCGATCACTTGGCAAAGGAAACACAGAGCAGCAAATGTTTAATTTAACACAAGTGAAGCTAGGAAAAAGGGAATGTATCTGGAATATTCGTAAACAGATTTTTCTACCTCTCTATTTGTGAAAGATATTTTGTTTCAAATATCCCAGGGGTTTTTAATGGTTCGGTGACATGTCCTTTGAACAGTAGTCCTCGTCTGGTGAGATCCAGTAAAACCTGTCTGACGATTTCACCCAGGTACATCCCACCGGTCATCTTTTCAAACCTAAACATGAAGCAAAGGGAAATGACTTGTTTCTGTTGCTTAAAGGAGTACAGTAAAGACTGGGGGATATTTGATCACCTTTGCTTTCCCTGGTTTACTGAGTGTATATCCACCTCTGCGTCATAAGGATTGATGATGTCATCCAGAGAGTGGTCGTCACCCAGACCGCCCCACTCTGTGTTTATGCACATTTTGGATTCGTCAGCCTCCACATTTGACTTCTCTGGCTTCATCGCATGGTTCTGCAGAGTGGAAGCAAAAGCACCAATATGATCACTTTAGCTCTGACATTTACTTAAATCTGCTTCTTTACCTCTTCCTGCTCTTTGTCTTTCTTTGCGGTGCCATGGCCCTGTTTCAGCTTTTCAATGTTCTTCACTTCCTCCATGTAGCAGAGGTTTGATCCTGTTCCTGAAACCATAGAGCATCATCGACTTGAACCAAAGTTTACTTCTTCTCAATAGAAACACGTTATAATATTTCTTTTGGATACTGCCTCTTAAATTGTCTAGGTTGAATTCAGAGCTAAGATTTCCCACTCATGCCTGTCTATAAACCTTCATGCTTTCATGATCACAGTCTCAAAGACTGATAAAAATGCTCTCTGTAGAGACTCCAGAGCTGCTATCCACCTCCAAGATAGTGTGACATACCTGCAATCATTCCAATTTCACACTGAGGATCCTCATAGGCGCAGCTCATCATAGTCCCAACCGTGTCATTTACTAATGCAACAATGTCCAGGTCAAACTCCTGGAGACACAAACAGGAATCATCATAAACTGAATTAGGTTTGCTTTGCAAACATATTCATGCCCTTGAAAGTATATTTTAGCCCTTTAACACCCTGGTCAACTAAACAGGACATCATTTTCACAGGAAAATGCAGGCTGGGGTTGGACAAAGACATTAAAGGGTTAAAATACTGTCACATTTCTAAAACTTTTTTTTTTTTCATTTTGGCATTGGCATTTTTATGATTTTAAAAGGTCTAAAATAAAAATAAGGTTTAGAAAGAGGGAGAAAGATATGCAGCAGTGGATAACTATTTTATTCTGATGTCATGATAGATGGACATAAAGTAGAAGTAATTGTAATAAAGGTTTTCAAATATTTTCACCAACAAAGAAAAGAAGAGAGTAGTTTGAATTTATATTTGGTCCCCTTTTATTCAATGCCCCTGAAGAAAATCCAGAACAACCAAAAGACCCCTTATGTGTTATGTAACCTCAGCATAAATACAGCTTTTATGTAGATATCTCTACATCTCTATCATCTAAATTTTAAATAAAATTAAGTAGGGGCTCAAAAGTAAAAAGAAAATTCTTTAGAAAACTGCCCGTCATTTGAAAATAGATCCTCCCAAAAAGACAGGCTGTTTTTGTCCAAACAGAACATGTCTATTTGTGGGGGAAAACAATTTTCATCCTCAATATGAAACATAGAGATGGCTGTATCATGCTGTGGTGATGCTTTTTCCTACAACAAAAGCAGGCTTGATGGGGTAATTGGTGGAGTTACTACATTAGAATCAGGGGATAAATCTGTTAAAGGATGTGAAAGTCTTCAGAGAAGTGCAGAGCGTCACCTCCCACTAAGACAAAACCAACCCCAGAGATGCAGTCAGAGCTGCAATGAGTGATTTTGATCAAACCATAACCCAATTCAGGTCCAACACAAAATCCAAATGAATATTATAACTAAGCGTTTGCTTAGTTATAATATTCATTTGGTACTCAGAGATTCACTTCCATACAGAAACCCCACATTCATATCTTCAGGTAACACAGAGTACATGTCAGACTTAATAATATTACTTTAGCAATAGTTTAAAGGTGTTGCTTTATTGTATGTCTTGTACCATGTTTTTCCGTTGTGCTGTTCTTTTTTCATCTCGTTACAGGTGATGAAGCAGACTGAAAATGTTTTGTCATTATCTCCTTTCTATCTCTTCTTTCTTTCATATTTTCTCTTTTTTTTCTTTTTTCCTTTTCTTCTTCTGTTTTTCTGCTCTATTTATATTGTCCATATAAACTGTAAAACTCCCTGCGTAATTATAATAAAGCAAATTTATATGCATGAAACAAGTGGAGCTATATGGCAATTGCCATACTGCTCCACTTGTGAAAGTAAAATCTGTTGGGCTCTTTTTGGCGTCAAGACAATTATTCTTATTGCCACATTGCCAGACAGGACACTGTAAAAAAAAATATAAAAATAAAAATAACTAAGCGTTTGAAAATTATGGTTTTAAGACAATATCTGTCAAACCAGTTTGAGGTTTCTGGAAATAACAACGGGAAGACACATGTTGCTCTCTATGTGCAGGTAGATCTATATCCTGAGAAAGAAATCATTAAATGTAGCAAAATTCAGTTGATCAAAGTTATTGTTAGTAACAAAAAATCTGAAAACATATGAAAAAGTTCCACACATATTTTTTGACAGGATGTATACACACTGATATATGCACACAGGAATTATATAAATGGGTATACACACAAACACCACAGGACATTTCAAAGGGCTTCATTCTATTATTGAATATAAAAAAGATGGAAAATCTATGCTTTCCCCTTTTGTGTTAAACCTTAAATTTTTTCCTAGAGGTTTTAGCATCTAGACTCACGTTTCGTCTCTTGATGGCATCTCTGAGCATGAAAACAACATCCTGTCCTACGCAGTCTGTGGCCTTGAAGCCCTTAGTCCAGCTTACCAGGGTGCCCTAAATAAAAAAAAATAATCAATGCAAGCATTTGATTCAGGCAAATTTGAATAGGCAAAATAATCCTGGATTCTTTTATTTTAGAAAAGGCTAAAAACCTACTTTATTAATACCAGACTGCTCACAAGGGAAAGAGAAGGTGAAGCCAGCAGGCAGACATGCCTTCTTCAGCCCCATGTAGTCCAGGAAGTCACAGACACACTGAGCCAAGTGGTCAAACAACTGAAGCCAACCAGAGAAAGACATTTCAGATATCACTGAACGTAGACAGATATTTTTCTCTGCTGTAACTTATTTGGACAAACTGATATTTATAGCTGATTCTTCTGTCTTATGATTTTGTTTGAAGTATTTGAATATAATGGTATGAAGGCTGTCTCACCTCTTCTCCAGTTCCTTGCATTATCTCCAGCGGAATGGTATAAATCTTATGGTAAAGTTGGGATTTATGTCTTTTGAATCTCACAAGCATAGCTCTGAAGTTTGTCCCTCCGAGATCCAAAGCAAGGTAATTTCCATTTTCTGAAGCACAAAATGTATTTCATTATGAACCGACTATTTTACAGCAGAAGTGGAGTCAGGTTTCAGCTGAGGGGAAGATGATGGAGGGAACAACAACTTTAAAACAGGTGAGGTAAAGTTTGCTTTCATACCTGTGCCATCTGGTGTGTGGTATACAAAGGAGGGAAGCATTTTTACTGTGCAGCCTTTACCCCTGAGCCCAGCCTCCAGCCCTTCTCTCATCCTAGATTTTACCAGCTGCAGCTGCTGCTGGTTTAGTCTGAAGAGAGACAGCGCCTCATCCACCTTTGGTAATAGAGTTAAAGCTTGTCATATCTCAACAATACAAAGGAGGAGCATTTTTAGTTCACCTGTAAAGACAAATGTTCATGCTTTTAGAGGACATTCTCACCCTTCTTCTCTGTGATGTCAGACGCTGAGCTACTGCTGCCACCAGGGCGGCACCTTTGCTGCTACCACTCTCTGAGAGAGCAAACCTGACCTGACAATCGGGAAGCAGCCGCCGCACAACTTTATGAAGGCGTTTAGGATACCTGAAAAAGTATAGAGGTTTTTGTAAGAAAAGCAGCAATTCTGAGGTGGAAAAAATATGACTGATGATTTAACACTGCAAAATCTGAAAGTTGTTCACAGCTTGTAAGTTTAGGATGAATTTGACAGACCAGCTCATGAGGTGCTAAGATCAAAGAGACATACAACAAAATTTCTGCAGGAAAAGCTGCTTCTACCAAATAGTGGCCCAGATAGCTCCTTAACAAAAGATATTTAGCACGTTTGTTTTTATATATAAATATATATATAAAAAAATTAAAAGTTGGAGGAGAATTCTGCATAAAATTCAAATTAAATGCAACAGATGGAGTAAAATAATAAAATGCTAAAGATGTACAAATGCTTTTGCAAGACTCAATCTCCTGCAAATCAAAATTATATTAAAAAAAAACAAAACAAAAACAATTAAAGGGTCATGATAAAGGACTCAACAATGATTTCCATCCATCCATCCATCCATCCATCCATCCATCCATCCATCCATCCATCCATCCATCCATCCATCCATCCATCCATCCATCCACTTCCCCTTTATCGGGGTAGGGTCGCGGAGGCAGCAGTCTAAATCATTTTAAATCTTAAATGTTAAATGTAAAAATGATAGGTTTTGGAATTTATTATTAAAAGTAATTATAAAATGGAAACAAAATGCATGTAACAGTAAATATGTGAGGCACAATGAATAAATATAAGCAATCCTCATTAATTGTCTGTAGATTTGATTTGACTCTTGTTTCTCTTTTGGATAAACAAACGCTTATTTTTTCAAAGTTTAATCATTATACTCTAAAAAATATTGTTTTTTTTTGTTGTTGTTTTTTAATATTTAGTTTTCATTGCCAATTTATTTGCAGTTATAAACTGATCTACTCCATAAATGTTGATAATGAGGTCTCTGCGAAGACTTACTGTGGGTGCGTTTTGTATAGAGTACCATCAACGCCTACTGTGATTTTCACCCCTCTCAAATTCCGGTTCTGCCTGATCCGAGTTAAGATGGCTGCCAGCCCGGCAGCCACCAGATTGGAGGACCTGAAGGAGACGATGGTGCTGACGTGCTGAACAGCGATGCAGTCGTCAGATGAAGGACTTAAATGAAGGCGAGTCAAAATGTCCTTGGTGTTTTTCAGACCATTTCTGTTCCTAAAGAAAAAAAAAAGATACATAAAAGATTGGAGTTCTTAAAGTTGTCAGATGCTCTGAAGAGGAGACATGATGTCTGCGTACTCCTCCATCGCTGCTACATCTGCAGTGGTTATATTCCCTTTGGTCCTCAGGGCGTCGGACACACGCCCATCAAACAGCAGTCCCAGTTTAGCCATCTTTAAAACAACCAGCCTCACCAGCTCTCCCAAATACATCCCACTGACCATCTTCTCAAATCTATAAAACATTAGAAATAGCATTTTAGAACAGAGGTCAAAAGGGTCAAAAGGTGTTAAACATTCTATGAAGCATCAGAGACAAAAACAAAACGGTTTCACTGACGTTTGTTGTCCAGGGTTGAGGGAGGCTGCATCAACATCTCTGTCAAACTCTGTAATGAAATCATCCAAAGCCCCATCATCTCCAAACCCCCCCCACTCAGTGTTCACACACATCCGGCCCTCGTCTCCTTCCACCAGGTCGATGTGACGCAGCTCTTCCATGTAGCAGACATTGGTACCAGTTCCTACGCACACAAACACACACATTAGATCTACATCCTGAGCCTTGGATGGCTTTGTACTCCTTTAATCTCACTATAAGTGCAGCTGCTCTATGAGGCTTCTTGCTCTGAGGATGCACTTCTATAGCAGCGACAAAGAACCTGATGAGAGTAGATGGGAAGATGGATGGAGCTCAACACATTGAAATCACAGAGGAAAACTTGTCAGAGGTCCCAAAAGACTTAACACTGGGCAAAGACTCTAAATATAAACCCATACAACAGAGGTGCTTATCCCAAAGCAAACACAGATTGAGTTAAAATAAAAATAAATTGAACTTTATTGATCTCACAATGGAGAAATCAACTCTCTGCATTCAACCCGTCTCCTTTGGGGAGCAGAGGGCTGCCACTGTGCAGCACCTGGGGAGCAATCAGTGGTTAAGGACCTTGCTCAGGGAACCAGGGTGGCAGTCTGTGGGAGTGGGTTTCAAACTCACATCCTCTGGATTCAAAGCCCTATGCCCTAATCACTAGGTCACCACTCCCCAGTTATTTTTGCAACATAAAACAGCCAAAGCCGTCTATTTTAATCTAAGTCTATTTTCTCCCAATTTGGAAAATGTTATGTTATGATATATCAAAGTATAATATAAAGTATATTATATAGATATTATATAAAGTATAAACTTCCCTTTATCCCTCTATCCAAGCAGGTTTAGTTCCTACTGTATGCTCCACCTATCTGGAACAGACTTCCACAAGACTTTAAAAGTCAAAGTTAAAAACCCGTTTGTTTAGAGCTATATTTGACTTTTGAGGTTAAACTGTTAACTGTTAAATTTTATTAGTTCATGTTTTATTTACTTTATTACCTGCTTTTATCATGTTTTTATTTCCACCCCCTTTTATTCTGCTTTCCTGTTCCATTCATGTAAAGCCCTCAGTACTGAATTGTGCTATAAATAAACTTGCCTTACAGATATCTATTTTGCCAACAACATTTAAAAAAGCACTGCACTTTGTCCTTTGAATTACAAACAGAAAATGTACAAGGATAGCCACAAAAAACCACTAGAGGGAGTTGTTTTATTAAATTTGTCTTATAGCTGAAGCAATATTTTCACATCTGTATTAAAGCATATTATTTAAGGCTGTGCTGTGAAGCAGGAGGAAGTCAATTTGCTGCATCAACTCTCCACAAAATAGACATACTCTAATAGAACAAACAAAACAGGAAAACAAAACAGCCAGGATCTATAACAAAAAACTAGCAATAAAATAAAAAAATTATATCAAACCAGTGAAAAATATAACCTTTATCTTCCCTCAGATTTAAGGTTGGTGTGTTTGGTGATAACAGCTTACTTGATCATATTTGATCAGCCTAAATTTAGACAAAAAAGTATTGCATGACTTGTAATAAAACAATAGAAAAGTGCAGCGAATAAGTGGATTATATTTGAACACAGTTAAAAGGCGCCGTTTGATCAGAAGGGGACCAATGAAAATATTCTCACCAATGATGAGTCCTACTTCACAACACTGGTCATCAAATCCACAGGTCATCATGGTCGCCACGGTGTCATTGACCATCGCCAGGACCTCTACGTCCATATCCTGCAGGGTTTAGGAGGTAAAGATACCTCATGGAAAAGGTCTGCATATGCCTATAATGGTTAAGCATGCAAAGAATAGGCTACGTGGTTAATTTCATGGGAATTTATTTTACTCAAGTGGTCAAGTTGTGGCATAAAACTTCTGCTTGATATTTTGTTGTTTGGATACATTTTGAGTTTTCATCTGCTGTATGCCACATCATTGAAGTAGGTTTATAAAATATCTCTTTATGTAAAAGTAATCTAGTTCCGTTTCAGATTTGGAAAAAATAATTGAAATAGATCTGCTCTTTGATTCTGTTGTAGTTCATTATGATAGGGGATATGACTATATTAAAGAAACCTACTAAAAGATAAAGTAAATATTGCTAGATATTGTCTCTGAGGGCCTTTTTGGACATTCAGCATCAAGCCCAACAGCTGGTGGAGGACATTTGTGTCATACCCCAGTTCTGCCAATAGCCTCTTTAAGCGCCTGGACCACATCTTTCCCCTGAAGGCCCCGAACTCTGTAATTCTTTCCCCAGCTGACGGATAATCCCTGCAGAGCAAATAGAATAAGTTAGAAGGGGAAAAAAGAAATAAATGAGGATGAAAACTAGAGGAGTAAATTACACAGCTGGACAAAAAAAATCAAATGTTGGGATGAAGGATGTCCTACCTGATCCAAACTAGGGTGCTCACAGGGGAAGGAGAAGGTAAAGGCTAACAGATGTTTATTTGATGGACTGATATTCTTTTCATGCAGAAAATCCTTCAGAGATTCTGAGACATGGTCGAATAACTACAAATGAAAAATAAAACAAAGAAGATAGAATTGGAATATAAAGAAAAAAGGCCTCACCTTCTGCTCTGTTTGCAACCAAATCTGTGGGGTTTTTTGTTTTTTGTTTTTACCTCAGCAGCTTTCCCGGCCTGCAGCTCATTTGGTATTGGATAAGTCTTCTCCTCCATCTCTACTCCTCCCTTTTTTATTCCTACATCCTCTCTGACTTTAACTCTAAGAACCTTAAAGTTGGAGCCTCCAAGATCTAGAGCCAGAAACTCTCCTTTCTCTGCAGAGAAACAAAACATGTCCATCACCTGCTGCTGTTTTTTGTTTTGGTTTTTCCCCCACAGTTCAGTGGTTTATACATGTAAATTAAACTAAGATGTACAACCTGATCCATCAGGAGTGGAGCGAACTTGTGTCGGTAGCATTTTCACTGCTGCAGCTGCAGTACTTTCTGCTGAAAGGCCTTTCTTCATTTCAGCCAGAAAACGTTTTGAGATGTCACTTAACCGATCGTCATGGAGACGCATCGCATGCAGGAACCTGTCCACCTTTGAAGGTAAAAGCAGAGGGGAGAAAATCAGCTAAGTAAAAAGAAACTATGCTGAACTGATTCTTTTTTTTTTCAATAAGACTGGAAAAAAAAAGTGGAAAAACAGCAAATTACAATTAAAATAAAAACGAAAAAATTTTTTTTTGTTCATTTAAAGCATATTTTCGACCTTCATGGCATAAGTATTATATTAAGCCTCTCTTAACAGACATTTATCAGATTTATGTCCAATATCTTACATATTCAATATTAATTGCATCATTAAATACATTACAACAGACCACATTAAACCTGCATCTTAACTATACAAGGGGATCTATAGCTTCAAAATATTTCTAACTCTTGAATATATTCACATTTTGTCATATTACAACCACAAATCTTAAATGCCATTTTCTTTTTTAAATTAAAATTGGAAAATAAATGCGTTGTAAATGCGATTCAGCCTCATTTACTCTAATACTAATGAGTAAAAAACGACATTTAGTATTAAAAAAAAATCCTCCTGTTTGTGATTTGATATCAGTATAAATGCAACTGTCGTGTAACATTATTTAACCTCCTGACTATCAGTAATTCATATTTGTCCTCTGTAGAGGACATTAATAAACCTGAATATCTTATTTTGCTATCTGCAGAACATATTTATGACTTTTCAATGATACCGGACATAAAGGGGTGGAGCTTTGGAGCATTTCTCTTTCTCATTCAGGAAAATGACATCTGTCAGTGGAATAGACTTTTATCCGGGACACTGCCTTCATGTTGAGCTTATCAAACCACTTCTTCTGATAACTTAAGCAAACTGCACCACCCCTGCAGTCCAGATTTGTCTCCTCAGTCTGCTCTGATCCTTCCAATACAGAGAATCCATGTTGATTCCTGTTCAGTTCATTGTTCAAATCAAATTTATAAATCACATTTAAAACAACAGATTGTTACTAAAGTTTTATACAACAAAAGGTAAAGACTGCAGTTTCATTTAATGTGTTACATGTGATCTAAAGACATCATAAGAGAACTAAACATAAAACAAGTTGGAAAATTATTTGTTTTTAATAGATACCTAAAAAATGAAAGTGAAGAAGCCTTTCCAATATTGAAAGAGAGAATTTTCCAGGACTCAGCTGAGACTGAAAAAGTCTGATCTCCTCTAACTGTTAGACTAGATTTTAGGACAACCAAGCAGCTAATCAGATGATCAAAGTGCCTGAGAAGAAAGGCAATGCTGAACTAGGTCATAGAGGTATAAAGGTGCAAGGTCCTGTGGCATTTTATAGGTCAGCAAGATAACTTTAAGATAAGACAGGATTAAACCAGTGAAATGTGTAAAATTACAGTCATGAGATGAGCTTCAGAATTATGGACAAGCTGAGGACAAGAAAATGACACCTGGCCAACTACAACTTAAAGTTTAATGCAGTATTAAGGTCAGGTTTAAAAAAAATGAAAATAATTCAAGCTCAGGTATGGTTAGCACTGACTGAAATCTAGCATATCATGTGTTAGATTGGCCCAGTCAAAGTTTAGACCTAAATCTAGAATCTATGGCTTGAAAAGAGATGTTTAAAATAACCCTCCATGCAAGCTGACAGAGCTAGAACTATTCTGCAGAGAATGGGAGAAATGTACTTGCAGCCTGAATGACAACAAATCGACCTACAGTGTAACCTCTGCATGCATAAGGGAGCTACACAATGTTTTATTCATTTTATATATGCAGTAAAACCAGATTTTTTTATCCATTATTAAAATAAACCATAAAGTAGACATCCATGTTGCTCTATCACATAAAAATGATAAAACACATTATATATTTTGGTTCCTAAGTGACAAAATGTTGAAGCGGTATTAATACCCTATTTTGATATTTAGATCACTGCAGATATGTATTTATAGACTTATTATTCTCAAACTATGACATAGTCTGACTTTTAGTTTCAAGAACTTGTGATCTTAAGTTTAAAAGCCATAACCATCCAATTTCTTTTTGCTCCCTTTAGATTTAATGGTGTGAATATAATGCATATTCTCTTGCTAATGTAATTAGTATTTTAATGTTTTAATCTAATCTTAATCAGAGAAGAAACGGTTAATCAAATAATATGTGGTTGTAAAAATAGTCAGGATGTTTTATTACAATAAAAAGAGAAAATATTGAGCCACCGGTTGCTGCAGTGGCTCATTTAATAGTCATTAACAAGAAATAATCAAAGAATGAATTAAAGTAAACCTAGAGCTTTATTATTATTGCTAAGTAAATAAAAAAAATGGCAAAATAAGATACAATTCAGAGCAAAATGTAGACATAGGCTCTTAACATCTAAATATCAGGATTTTTATTTTCACTGAGTATCTTAGTATCCAGTATTTTCTAATGTCCTATCGCTGCTTGACTTTCAATGTATGCATCATTACAGGGAGTGTCAGAACTTTGTCCCTGTGGGACAGAGGTGTACAGCAGCTTTGAGAGAAATGTGTTAATGATTGCTAAGGACCACAATAACTGATTATTACTGTTACGTTTAATTTCAGTTTGCTGGTATGCATTTAACCTAGATTTAATGAAAATGTAAGGAAATATATATTTGAATTTCAAGAATTATTTATGGGATACATGTTTGGGATTTATTCTCAAAGTCAAAATAAGAGAATCTCCTCTTAAGGTGTGAACTACAAGGAAAGGAAGACTTGATAGACCTGGAATAAATTGATTTCAACAGCTTAAGCAACGCCTATGATTAAGATTTACCTCTTTGTAATAATTCAAATAACTCTTACCTTCTTAGTAGGATCCTCCTGAAGTTTGGAGAAGAAAAATGAAACTAGATGAACAGCTAACATCTTTAAATAGGCAGAACACAAAATGGATTTTTGTCTCAAGTGTGCAGCTATCAGTGCGCTAAGAATGAAAACACCAGACTGAAATAAGTTAAAAAACTGTCCAATAAACGTTGTTGCTGCACATCCTCTGAGCGGCGATCAACCTCTGCACCAACTCAATGATTAACAAGCCAACCACCTCTTCATCATGGCTACCTGTGCACTCACCATCACACGTGGCCCGCCACCGCCTTCCTTTATGGACTATGGATTCTTTGCTACCATTACATGCCATTTTAGACATTTAATGGATGATTCAATTATTTTTAATGATCTTATTTTTCTCTGCTGTAATTCAGTCTTTTAAAATTTGGGAGTCAGAATAAAAGAAAAATACCATAGAGTGATATTTGACTTTGATATTTGTTCATGTTGAGAAACCTTAAAACCAATGAGAAAATCCAAAAAGCTCAAAATATTTTATTGCCAAATATCTGCTTATATACAGACATGATAAATACAGAGTTTCACCTTCCTTGTGTGTGGATCACAAACAAGAACCAGAGACTCCTCATTGCATCACTATAACATATCAAACTTTTCTGTAGTGATGAAGAAAAAAAAACCTACATATTAAATGTAATTGAAATGTTTTCTGCTATAGAACAGCTATTATGCCACAATTTTCCAATCTTCACTTTTGCTTTCCAACTAGACCCACAGTTAAAACAGAGAGGTTTGTGGGTAGCTAATGGGCCTTTTCTATGCGTTTTATTTAGTTTGCAAAACTAACTAAGAAGTTGAGGGAATCCTGCACAGAAGCATTTTCTATTCCAGTTTCACCATTAGCAGTTGAAGTTGAGCAAAATAAGTGTGAAAATATTCAACAGCCCATTAAGTTGCCTGACTCTCGTTCCCAGCCAAATGTCCTGAATTAAACACTTCTGTTGTGTCTACCTGTACTCAGCTCTGCAGGAAAAGAAAAAAGTTCAGGATTCCTGTGTTTTTAATGTATGAATTCAAGAGAAAGTTTTCCAAATCTTTCTTGGTCATTCTTGTCAGTTTTGATATATGAGATTCTTGGGAAGGAAGGAACAGAATTCTTCATGGAAAATTCTGAAATACATTCCCGCATTTTCCCAGGATGTGTAGAAGCCTTGTCCTCTTTAAATGAGCCACCAGCAGAGATGTATTCCTGAATTCTGCAACATTTTAAGGATTTGTGACTTGCACCAGTTCTGAGTATTTATTTATTTCTTCTTTTTCCTTTTTCCTTTGGCACTGTTCTTATTGATCTCTGTGCTGAGGGCACTCTGGCTGCCACCTTCCTGCCTTTGGCTCTTGGACCACTCCCTCTGCAGCTGCTTCAGCAGGTCAGGAGTCAACAGTCCATCTCTCACGAGTCGGCTAGCTAGAGATTTCTCCATCATCTCCACAGAGCTTCTCTGACCTCTGCTTCTGTTCGGGAGCATCCCGCTGGCAGTTCCAGCTTCAGTTTGCTCAGAAGTGTTGCGTTTTGGCTGCAGCGGGTCGGTAATGTTTGGGTCAGTGGCTCGGATCAGGCGGGTGATGTTTCGGACGCCCTGCTGGATGATGTCGTCGAGTTCCCGCTGGATCCCTCGGATCAGAGCAGTGTCTGGAAACATATCCATGAAACGGTAGCTATAGGGGCAAAGAGAGCGAAGACAATGAAAAACGATTTGAACGGTCGGTATTCAGACAAAATCCAGGTCCATAAATTCATCACAGAAGCAGATTACCTTAACCAGAGGTATAGATCCAGAACATCATGCACAGCTTCTAGATGAACCAGGTCTTTGATGTTTTTGGGTGCAGCCAGAGGCCAGCTGATGTGACGGCAGACCCAGTCAAAGGTCAGGGGCTCGTCCCGACTGAACTGACGAGCAAACTAAAAACGGCAGCAGATGAATTAGAAACAAAAAGCTGTGCAGGAGAGTGAAGATTGTCAAAGATGCATGATAACAGTTTCTACAATGCTGTTTCAAACCACATCAGTAACCCTGAATTATAGAAGAGGAATCCAAACTTCAAAGGATGCTCCAAAACTTTGTAGGGAGGATATGAGTCTAAACTTATTACAGCACTGCTATACAAACATTGTGATTAGTATAGGCTGATCTTTCACTAATGCTAATATGACCAAAACCTATTTCACCATATGTTTCTCAATTTTAGTCGACATTGAAAATCATTTTGACATTGAATTAAAGTATCAAAAATGCCCACCACACAATCCTTTAAGAACTTCAAACAATTATTTTAAGTTTATAAAGCTCCTCTCATTTTGGTTTAAAAACAAAGAAAACCCACATAAAACTCCATAAAACCTGTAGAATCCATCAATTGTAAGATGCAGTCATTCACTGTAATGCATCTTGAACAAAAAAAGCTCATAACTTCCCTCCCCTGAGCAGCTTTTACTCTCACCTTCAGGAAGGACGTGCAGACAAAAGGCTGCTTTTTGTTAATTGGAGCCGTACAAAAGACGTAGCGTGACCTCAGGTTTAGTGGAATATGTTGAATCATGTCAGCCAGAAACTTGAAGTCATCAATGTTGCACACAAAGTACATACCGTCCACCTGGGAGAGGCTAACAAATATGTCCTGAAATAAGAAAAAGAAGAGATATAGAAATTCACATACCAAAAATAACTTTAGATTCAGTAGCATTTAATCAAAGATACCACAATGGGGAGGTTTTTCTTTGTAATCATCACAAGCTATATTAATTTCCTTAAGCCGATTAATTTGTTTCTGGCATTAAAACAAAAGAAAAAAATGAAAGAAAAACATAAGTAAAGGTAACCTTTCTGAATCATTTTACAAGATGACTTGAAAAAATTATTTTACAAAAAAAATGTAAAAATTACTTCACATTTAAGGGGAAAGAGGCTCATAAAGGAATATAAAAGTTTATTTACTGCATCACATGACTTAGAAAACATGTTTTGTTTTGAACAGTAGTCTATGCAACTCAAGACCTTAAAAATAAATTTATTTTTGTTAGCAACATTTAAAAAAGGGGCTATATTTCTTGGTATTTAGTCCAAATTAAGCAAACAGCAGAGCATTTATACAGTATGTTGCTTTTGATCCACCTCTAGTTTTTTTAAATGCATTATTGTAGCACCAAATCAGACGGCCTAAAAAAGATAGAGGAGCTCTTTTTTAATTTAGTGTGAAAAAAGTCCCATTTCTCTAATGACCTCCAGTGAGAGTCCCTAAATTATCTGGTATATCCTTCCAGTAGATCTCCACTGGCTTTCAACATTTATGCACTGATCAGGTTTACTGACTGCAAGACAAACAAGGTTTCTGCAGGTTCCTCATGAGGGATCTCCTTTTCTAGTTCAGAATGAAATAGGATTTTGTTTTTTACCATCAAACCATGTGTCCTCAAACCCCCCATCAGATTTTATAAAGCTGCAAAGGGTTTATGTGCAAAACATTTATGAAAATTAGTTTTTAGTTTGATGCATTTAAAGGAAAGCTAATCTAAATGATATCAGTATTAGACTATGTAGAACTGCAGCCGTTTCAGAGAATCCCAGAATTTAAACGCTAATTTATTCAACCACTCATCTATACATGGTTCAGATTTTTTATCTAACGAGCATATTTGAGCACATTGCTTTACTTACTACAAGGTTGGAGAGTGTAGCATCAGGGAGGTGATAAGCAAACATTTCTATCTGTTCTGCGGTTGGATGGAGGCCTGCAGTCTGGGAAAAAAAAAAAGATGTTAGATGGTCAGTTTCTCCATGCATGAATTATGGGGCTTTATGTACCAATGACTGGAAAATTAAACACCTCTATAGGATCAACAGAATGGCTGAGGATTTCCTTCAGGACAGGCAGGTCGTCTCTGTGCATGGTGGTGACCTCTCCCTCCTTAAATTTGGAGGAAAATCTGCAACAGAAAAAGGGGGATTTGAAAAACCTTATGATGGAGAGGACCGTACACCCCCCACTCCTTCAGACATAGAACTGACCTTCCTGCACGACCTGCAATCTGCAGGGCCTGCGAGGTGCTGATGGTCTCCATCTGTTTCTCTCCTTTCACATTGATATTGGGCTTTACCAGAGAGTTAAAGATGATGCGTTTTATACTCCTAAAAACATGGAGGGAGGGACAGAAAAACGTGAGGAATTTGGGTTTTATTGATTCTGACTGCACTTGTTGGTCTGGACTAAACGTGTGCTTTCGTTTGTGGATAATTCCAAAGCAAATTAATGTATGAAGGAGGTGCCATGTGCTCTGAGAATGTGTAGGACTGTGATTTTAGTTACATAAAATTGTTTGTGGAAAAATAAATAACTTAATGGGTTAAAATTACCTCTATGCTACTTACAGGTTGAGACCCATGCCGATGGCATCTGTAGCGACCAGGATCTTACACGGATCACTGGGATCATTGAACTTCTTGGCCTGCGACAGTTTGGTGCCTGCAGAAAAGGTAATGTTTACATGTTTCATTTAATTATTATTCATCATATTTATAACTATTATTATTAATTATAATTATTATATATAAACAAAAAGAAGTAAACATGCCATTTCAATTTCTGTGAAAATCTAACACATTTAAGCAGAAACTTTAATCTGTTCAATCTAATCACTTTATCACATTAACCTCTAGAATATTCAAATGATTAAGATTGCATGAATAACTATCTTAATAAAACCTGAGAAAATATTATAAACAAAGAAATTCTTTATTTCTTTGTTCATTAAAATGTCAAGAGCTCACATATAAGCTAAAAGACTAAGAGTAATGCAATGTATGGAAATGTTATGTTCCTTTTGCCCTTCAGAGTAAGTCTTTAAATCACAGTTTCCAGTTAGTTCTTCAGGCCTATAAATAAATAAATATATATATTTTTGTTTTCTACATGCAAAATGAGAGAATACAATTAAGCAGAACTCCACCAAAGCATTTGGAAAAGAAAGAAGTAATTTATACATTTATTTCTGTACCTTTAGACGCAAACTTCTTCCAAGCTTTAAAGAAACTCAGGTTGCTCTAAATCTGTTTTATATTTAACCCACTCTCACTCACTCACCTGGAGGTAAACTGCCATAAATCACAGCACATTCTTGTCCTCTAGCCTCAATCTGTCTGCTTAAAGAGTAGATGTCGTTTTTACTAAAGCACACGATACAATCTCCTGGTCTCAGGTTGTCCAAAGACTCCACAGCCTGATCCAGGATGGAGAACGGGGTTAAGCGTTGGTAGGTGTGGACCTGCGGAGAGAGGAGGCAGGTGGTAAAAAAAAAAAGCTGACGAAGCCTGACTTCCAACCCCAAGCTGTCAGTCTCACCTCCACCTCCTCTCCGGTGGTGTACATCAGCTCCCTGATGAAGTCCACAGCTGCGGCTTCTCCGCACACATGGATCTCCTCAGCACACAGCCCTACGCAGACACAGAGGAAGGAGCCGCAGACCAGAGATAAATCAAACAGTCCGAGTATGTGAGGGAAATCCTTGCTTCAGTTTGAATGTTACAAACCCAGTAGAGCTCTGGTCCAGGCCCAGCCTCTGGAAGGATCTCTGATCATCTGAATTTCATCGATCACAGCCACCTCATCTACAGAAACATTGAGAGGAAAAAGCACTATGTGGTAAACAGACAACAAAACTAATCATAATTAGCAGGTTAAAATTATGACACATGGTTCCAACACGGAAAAAAACATGCTATAATCTGACAGAGATAAGGTGAGAAATTAGGGGAGATTATTCAATCCATGGGGATACAGTGGAAGCAGTTAATTGGCTTAGAAGAAGAGAAAATTAGATCATCAAGGTAGAGTAATAATCATTCCTAAAAGGATTCTGATTTACAAAGTAAGTAAAACTAAATATCAGAAAAAAACAAACAAAAAATGTCTAAATATATTTCGGATGTATCACGTTATGGAAAGATAAAAGATTGTATATTGTGTTCCCTATCATAAATTGTACAGCTTTCATTGAATAAAAAACAAACTTGATAACTTTACATTTGATATGTCCTTATTTATACTGGATCAGTACCCTGACAGAAATATCACTGCAGCCTTTTCATATCAGCAAGATAATCTGAGTTTAAGAAGCTATTCTTCTCAGTCATTCACTGAAAACTGACTATCAACTTAAATATATACCACCAGATTCTGGATAAATCAAAGAATAGGTTCATTTCATTACTGAAACTTTAACAAATTTTTTCATAAAGGTTTAACAACACTTCCTGGGAAATAAAACCAGAATGACACCAAGAAAAAAACTCAAATACACAGAGAAAGAAAGCCAGATTTATACTTTCATCCAATGAATTTCACCAATAATCCCATTGATCATGTCTGACCTTACAGAGGTGTTGATTTGGTAAAATCATAAAAAAGGATACAATCACACATTAGGGACGTACAAGAAATCTTGATGGTATAAAACTAAACTAACTAATTTCAAAACTTATTAAATATTTAGAAACACAGTTTATAGAAAAAAAATCAGTAAAAGGAGAGAAAGAAAATAACAAAATTAATATTTATGATTTAACAAAGAAAAATATATTGTTTAAAGTGCTTTCATTGTACTTTCATCATTTTTAACTTGTTAAAAATCTACAAATCCTAGAAACAACCATTTCTATCACCCAACCACCATAAAAACGTTCAAATTCAGTGGCTGCGTCCTCAGAAGGCCAGATTCGTGAATTATTTCATGGCGCGGCACCGAGGCCTGTTCTGATTGGAAGACTCCTCGTTATGCAGGCCGACAAATGCATCCTTCTTTGTCTGTTTTGAAAGACAGGTCCGGTATATCCTGTGCAGCCTTGGATATCACATGATTTATTTGCAATTTAAGAAATGGAAATGTCCCGAGAGCAGTACAAAACGAAATTTCGTTTTCTATACACTCTGTGTTTACAAAATGACAATAAATTTTGTCTAAGTCTAAGGGTAAAAGCAAGCCAGCTGCTTAAGGTTGGTTAAACAGAGGTGGTGGACTCAGATTTCAGCTGTAAAAAACCTACAATGCAGCAAGTTGATCCCTTCCTGCTATCATCGCAACCCTGACCCCTTTACAGGTGACAAGAAGACCTTGCCTATTCAGCCAGGCTAACAAGTCCCTTTAACAACCCCCTTTCAGAGACATAGACAGGTATCAGGTATTGCAGGCCAAAAGATAAGAACGAGCCCCATTCCTAAGGGGTGGGCGTTTTCATCTGTTTAAATTTGCACGTTTTCTAAACAAAAAACAAGGTTTTGTTGAGCTACTGTATAAAGCCTCGAACTGAACGCTAATCCAGACAATTTGGATTGAAAAAGCTTCCTGGATGGGATGGGAAGCGAAACGTCTTCAAACTTGAAAACTAAGTCCAGTGGATTGATTTTTTAAACTTTTTTGGAACTCCTTGAAAATGTTATTAGCAACCAAAACAGTAGTGAGAATTTCGGCATCTATTCTTTTCCTACTTTGTGTGTCAACTGCCATGGTTGCTAGGCAACAGAGTGCCCAGGCGGTGGAAGAAGGAGAAGGATGGACCTGTTTGAATGCACAGCCAAAACTCTTCTGGGCTCCTTATTTACAGGACCTGGTCCAGGTATACTGGGTCCTTGGAAGATGCAGCCGCTAAAAGTGAACACAATCCTTATTACAGTTTTCAGTAAATGTGTTCTAACACCTTCTTACAGGGGGTGTTGACGCTGCACATCTCAATAGTGCATGCCACATGGCCGGCTGCTCGACCCTCTGGTTCTACAAAGGTCCTCTCCTCTCCGGTCACCAGGTCACATGGTACACCCTGCCAATATAAAAGAATAAAGATGGATTTCACAACAGAGACATTCAATGTCTTCATGAGAATATGAAAACAGACCACACGGTTTAGAGCTACAAACTAGCTTTCAGTGCAAGAATTTAAATTTCAGTGTGTGATCTGAGCGGCTGAGAGGTTTTGCTTCAACCTTCTTGCACCTCCAGATGTTAAAATAACTTCAGTCAGTGGCATAGATTTAACTGTTCCTGAAGTCGGGGTCATGGATCAACAAGTACGGAGGGCTAAAAATGACCACATTAAAGCACCTTTATTGGTCTAAAGATAGAAAAATTTGACTAAAAAATAGACAAAAATCACACATGCTTTTAATTGCTTATATACCAGAGAAATAAAGATGCTTTAGAAATATTCAAATCTAGACAAACAGTTTTGGTTGTGAGTTAATTCTAGTTACTGCTGCAACTTAAGTTATTTTTCTAATCGATTAATCCGTCAATTATTTTTTTGACTAATACATTCATAATCGGATAAAAAAAGATTCCTCAAAGAAGAGTTTTACCAAATCAAACCAGGTGAAACTAAAATGTTTCGTCTTGAGGAGTTGTGGATAGAGCATATTGACAGATAAAAATGTTTTTTATCCTAAATGCAAAATGCTTTTATATTTATTTACAAATTTTAATAATTACTGCTCTAGGTGGGTCACTCTGTCAGCTAAAGGCATGTTTTAGCCTCTATACTCCAGTTAAGGATTAATCGATTACTAAATTAGTTGTCGATTATTTCTATAATCGATTAATCTATTTTTTGGGGTCACAAATCGAAAGCATTTGTGAACTTTTTGTCTTCCGGCTTCTGCTTCAAAAACACACTTTCAAGAGAATGTTAGTTTTCTCCATTTAAAATTTAAGCCAAGAGATTTTGCTCGTGTGCTGGAACCCAAAATAGCATTGCTGGATCATATTGATCACAGTATAAATACCTGCAAATATTTCTGTTCAGATCTAAAGGTTTTCAGGAGGACAGTAAATGTGATATCAACCCAAGGCTTAAAAGGCCTGTTATTAAACCTTATTAACATTTTCCTGCTTTTTATTTTTACTTCATTCATGGCCCAGAGCCTTTCTGACAAATGCACAAAAACCAGATGGAAGATGTGAAAAATAAAAACAGAAACTCACAGCACTGTTGCTCTTCTCAAAGATCTCGTGAGCGAGAAGTTTCAGAGGACCACAGTAGACCCCAGACTTAGCAGCCAGGTAGCGCTGGATGGCATGGTAAGTCTTCCCACTGTTGGTGGGTCCAGCGTGAAAGACCACCTTCCTCTGGATGGCTCGGGCCTCAGGGTACCTGATACAGACACACAACATTTAGCTCAATTTATTAGTTCAGTTTTAATGGGAAGGAGCAATCTATGGTTGAGGTTCTTGCATAGTGAGCTGGATTGCCAGGCTGTTGGATATTTGCAGCCTTCTTTAGAATGCAAGAGCTCTGCTCTACCAAACAGGCCATCACTCCTTCACATGTTCTGGAGAACCATCGGCACATCTAACTGCCATCTGATGAGTCTTGAATGAAAGGTTTACCAGTTTGCAGGGACTCTGAGGTCAGAGATCTTTCTTAGGTCATCCATGCAGTCCAGCATGGGAAATATTTGTTTGGCATGACGCATGAAATATGGGTAGATGTCATCAATATGACCTGAAAAGAAAAATAGACAATGCAATAAATGGAAACTTTCTTTAACTGAATAAACTAACGTGGTGGTGTACCTGCATTGCAGCAGATGTCATTGAGAATGATGTGCAAGTCAGCAGGGAGAGACGTCATTTCCAGAACATATTTCCTAAAACTGATGAAGGCTTGGTGGAAGAGACGAGCTGTTTGTCCACAAAAAAAAACAAAAAAACACAATCACAGAAATATCTGCAGAGATCACAACAGTCATTTGGCGTGAAATAAATGAGAAGAAATAATTCCCCAACAAAAAATATATAGAATATAAAATAGAATACTTTCATATATGCATGCATGAAGCTGTTGCAGAACTTTAGAGCTCCTTCAGTGACAGACTGCTGCACCATAAATGCACCAGGGAGAGTTATCTCAGATCCTTCCCCTTAGCTGCTGTAAGACTTTATAACCATCACTGTTTCCAACAACCTCAACAATGTGTTACATTCATGCTGATTTTGCACAATTTCTATCTTAGTTAGTTAAATAACATGCTGTTGTCATTTTGCACATCTCTGATGTTGCTGCTATTTTTCAAATATCCATTACTGTAAAAATGTCCATAGCTGGATATTGGTTATTTATTCTCAAGGTGCACAGTTTGTATATTGTTAAAGCACTTTACAGTACAGTTTTTTATTGTCTATTTTTTAAATCTTCACTATTGTGTTATTCTTATACATTTTTCTAAGGTCCACATTTGTGTGACCATTCCTTATTTTTTTATATGTTTTTGCTGCTTTAAACACCAGAATTTCCCCATTGTGGGACAATAAAGGGATTTTCTATTCTATTCTATATTGCACAGTTCTATTTAAATACTTCATTTCTCTCAGGTCAAAAAGGAACAACTGGTTTTGCCTCATCACAAACACAGATCTCTTTTCATTTAGATGTTGGAAATCGGCCTGTTTTTCCAGTGTAGTCCTGTTTCTCTGACTGTGACTGGCTGGATGTGCTCTCTTCATCCTCTAACACGGGAGCTTGCTCAGAGCTCAACTGCCTGGCCGTGTGTTTCCTGGACGGGCCGCTGCTTTTTGTGTCTCTGCTTCTGTCTCCTTGAACCCCAGTCGGCCACGGCAGACGGCCGCTCACACTGAGCCTGGTTCTGCTGGAGGTTTCTTCCTGTTAAAAGGGAGTTTTTTCCTCTCCACTGTTGCTACAAGCATGGTTAGTGTGAGGGATTGCATCTGAGTTAATGAGTCGATGCAATTAACTGGTTTTCCTTAGATAGAAAACTTTGACTGTATGATCTGGTGAACTGCAAAGTGCCTTGAAATGACGTGTTGTGAATTGGCGCTATAGAATTAAACTGAATTTAATTTAATTTAAGTTAAAGATCAATCAAATATAGTGCACAGTTAGTCAACTACTGCATTGGCCCATTAAACAGGGAACCCCCTTTGTTCAAATTTAAAATCAACTAATTCATAGAGTCCATCTGGGTGCATTTAAATATCAATGGAGGGGTCAGGTGGTATTGAAGAACATCAGTAAACAAACATCATTATGACCAGAAACTCAAGAGGGAAAAGTAATGAAACAGGTCCAGTTAAAGAGTTATACCAGCTTTGAAGGCTTGTGCAAGGCTTAAAAAATTATTTAAACATTCCGTAAGTTAGGGTTTATATTCTCACCATCCAGACCCTGGTCTGCGGCCAACTTCTGCATCTCTTTTCTTTTGTAAAACTTGTTCAAGACTTTGAGCAGCTCATCTAAATAGAAAAAGAAGACATAAGTCAATTCGGTTAATCTATATAAATAAGCGTGACCTTACTAGGCTAACTCCATCGAGTCTCTATCAGGATCTGACCTTAATAAATGCACAAAACTAGTATAAACTCTTTTTACTTTTGTCCAGAGGCTGCGTCAGCTCTGCTCCCACAGCCCCATCAGCCGGGATGTCGGTCTTCAGGGAGACTGGAACAAACAGCGAGGTGTCCGGCCCCTTGCTGTTAGAAGAGACATATCTACAGCAAACCGAAAAAGCAGGATGAGGGTGCTGGAGCACCAACCTAGAGCCAGAAACCACTCTGCAGCCGCCTGTGGTGATGTGAGCAGTCCGGGTGTTAAAGTGGCGTTGAAGCCAAGAAAAGAAGTGTAAGGTCCGGTTAGCTGACATCATTGCGGGCGGGATATGTAACCGACAACCGGTGGGTGCTGTACGCTACTTCTAAGCTGCTGTTACCGCTCCATAATGTTCAAATTATCTAAAAAGTTGGCTCACACGCCACAAACTCTAGCAAAGGACATTCTACACATTTCTGGTTTCACAAACGTGGGATAGGACCGCCCTGTCTACAAATATGCCTGAACAAAAATGTAAAAAAAAAAAAAAACATTGTTATTTTATATTTTGAGGGAAATAATTTATAAGGTTATTTTATATTTACTGTTGTGTATTCAGTAATTATATTTTATTCAAGACTAACATGGTTGCGTAGTAGATAGGAAATATATATGTAAGGCATATTTAAGGAAACATCTGAGCTCGAACTCAAAGATCGTTTATTAAACTAAGAAGCAGGCTGGATAGCTTTGATAAAAAACAAAACAATCTTAACCGAAGTTTTACGTAATCTTTTAAATGGTTCATTGTCGATTTTAACCAATTATTTTAAAGCCTAATTATTTTTATTACATAAAAAACATTTTAAATAGACTGTTTTGACACTATCTTGATGATTGCCATACCCAACGATATTTTAAGATCAATATAAAAAAAATATGACCATTTATTAAATATATAAAATGTATTTAAATAATTCCTGGATAATAATTCAGTTTAAACGGGCCAAATTTCTTGTCCAGGAGCAAATACTTTCAGTAATAAAGTATTAATATAATAAAAATTTAATATTTTTTGTAATTATTTACAAATTAAATGTGGTGTTTGCTAGATATTTTTTTTTTTTTTACAAGTTACACTTTTTTAAGGCTATAAGGAAAAAAAATCTTAAAAAGTCTGGATAATCGATAAAAGGTACTTTAGTTTAATTTGAAATATAAAAAGTATAAAAAAAAAATCTAGAGTAGGTTTTCTACATTACCATACTCTAAGGGGGGGAAAAAAAGCTTACTTTAAATTTAATAAATAATGCTGTAAGATCCTTTAAAAATAGTCTTTAAGCTCTAAAAACAGACAAAATAAAAAATTTCAAACTAAATTTAATATAAATCTGCTTTATTTGTGATTAATTTAGGCTATATATTCGGGGTTTGGTGTATGGAATATACACACATTATCTCATACACACAGTCACACGATGGCATGAGTGGACAAACATGCAGAAAACAAAGAGACAGAGGATATAGGCTTTGAAGCTTTTTTCACAACTTCTAACCATTGAAGAAAAAAAAAAAACATTTAATCCAAAAGATTAAGCAAAATAAAAGATTTGTTTTTCAATAAATTACACCCCTTCTAAACATTATAGATGCAAATTACAGGATCAAAACCAGAATAAAAGGACAGAGGAAACCTGAACTGTTGATCTGTCTGTTCATACACTATAAGAAAAAATAAAAATGTAACAGCAAAATGCAGCCACTGTCCAAACGTGAAAGAGGCAAAATAAATAAAAATATAAAGCTGAATTAAAGTGTGTAGTGAAAAGAAAAAAACTCAGAAAAACTGAGGTCAAGTTGCTCCTTGAGTGATGATAACTTTCAGGAAATATTCACCTTCAACACTAAGTACAGCACTGTAGAGCAAAGTGCAAGCTGTCCTCAGATCAGAGCTAGAGGCAGAAAAAAATAAATCACATGGGACTGGTAACAGTGTCATTAAAGCAAGACCTAAACCTCAGGTCTGAGCATCACAGTGGAACATAGTTGCATTTACAGTTATGTGAAAAGTACATCCCTTCCTGTTTTAACAACAGAAGTCAAAAACCGTTAGTTACATTATTATTCTGAATATATCGAACCAGTGGGCTCAAAAAGCTTTAACCCCTGAAGACTAACATGATCAGTAAATATACAGGCTGAAGGTTCGGACTGGCAGCTGTACAGCAACACTGGAAAATTTGAGTCTAAAATCAGCTGCACAGCTGCAACCTTCTATCTTTGAGCTGCTGAAATGAAAGGAAACCGTTTCACACAGAGACTGGTCAGCTGGCAGAAAACAAATTAAATGCAATAGACAAATTCACATTAGGATTCTCTAATGGTTCACTCTAATTAAATTAATTTGAATTTCAGCAGCGAAACCCTGAAAATGCTTCTCATTTTTACAATACGATTTTGCATACATACAGTATTTCAGACATAGACAGCACTGACAAGGATCTAACACAAAGTGGCGCCCAGACGTTAACAAACATGTCATAACCATGAATATAGATTCTGTTGACATTACAGATAATTTTAATGACATGTAATCCATCCATCTAAGCAGAAAGAAATGTTTCTCTGTTATGTAAAAGAAAAAAAACTAACCTGCAGATTTAACCTAAATAAATCACCTTAAGATAAATCATTAAATCAAGTACTTTGGGGGAATTTATTCGGTTGTGTACAGCAACCAGAGGTGGAACTGGATTTTCCTCAGTCAGAACTATATTGTGGGTTTTTATATTGTTGTGAACACTTATTGCACTCGATTCCCCAATTAAAGCAGAATGCTGCTGATAGGTCTTTAAACTGCTGCAAAGTCGTTTACAGTTATAAAACAGCGCTGAAATCCTTGACGCTCCAGCTCAGTCACGTAGTGTACATAAATGCAGGACATAGGTGTTGCCCCCATAGCGTCGTCTCTTCTGGTCTTTGAAGCCTTTCGTTTTAGGAGTAGTTCATGCAGCTCTAAGTAGTGGTTTGTTGGTTTTATGTAAAGTGTGAGAGATAAAGTCCAGGATGAGAGATGATTTGAAAAGAGAAACTCTCAATTCAGAGGGGAGAAGTGCTGCTCTTCCGTTTTCTTCCTGAACACTTTGCATGGCCAGCAGACTGGGACCGTATGGCTTTATGCATGTGTGCTTGTCTGGAGGAGCTACAACTAAATTGGGCATCTCATTGTTTTTTTAGGCTGATTTTCATTTTAGCTTTGACATTCAGGTTTAAGCAGACGTGTTGTTGCAGTCGTATGGATCTGTGTTTCAGTTCTGGGTGAGAGTAGTGGCAGCTCCCATTGAAAGCTGTGAAATGGTGAGCAGGTGTGCAGGGGATGTCTAAAGATAACTTCTGTGTATTTGTGTTTTACAGACATCTGTCAGTCCATGGAGAGAGCAGCTTCAGCCCTCAAACCTCTGGCTGTTTTGCAGAAAGAAGCTGTGATGTGTTTGCCTTCAGATCTTCTGGGTGTGACCCTCACATCTCCGGCTGCTCTGCAGAGACCGGCTGGCTTCTGGGCTCGGGCGACTCGTAGCGCTGGTGGAAGTTTCTTTTTCTCAGCTTCTCTGGAGCTTTTCTCCACAAAACAATTTCCTAAACACAAAAAGTAGATGGCAGCACAAGTTGTACAATAAACAGGGTTTAAAGTGATTATCAAAGTGAACGAAGCAGAGAAGTACAACTGGAAAGTCCAAAGAAAACTTTTCTGAAGGATATTAAAACAAATTCAACAGAGGAGTCGGGGTTATGCTGTAGCGGGGATCTGGCAAAACCTTGCTGCCACTCTTATTAGGAAATAACAGATCACAACTTAAACGCTTTAATAGTTAAAGTCAATTAAATTAGATGCACTGGTAATGATTTCTGAGATTAAAAGCTCTAAAGTTTCCTTCACCAGAAATATGTCTCACCATAGAAATGAGACAATTCAGCAGGTCTTAAAACTGAAATTTTTTTAAAAGGACATATATCATCACCCTTTAAAGCACCTTAAAGAAATTGAAATCATCTTTTCATTTGGTTTTGAGTAGCAAAATGGAAAAAAAGAAATTTATCTGATCGAAAAAGGGCCTTTTGAAACCCATTCTCTAAAACAGAAAGCTCCTATCGTATCTGGATACAATACTGCATCCTAAAATGTACTGCCAGTACAAATAGATTATATAGTTTAGATATTAGTTAAATAGATTGAATAATAAAACAATGGTGACAGTTCTTGAAAACTAATGAACAACAGTAAATAATCCCTGAAGAGTTCTGATGATGTATGTGAATTACCTGCTGTTTAAAGTATCTCCTGTCCTCCTCATCCACCAGCACCAGATTTAGAAAGTAGCGAACGGAGAACTTCTTATTAACATCCCTCATGGTGGGTGTCAGATCATATCCTTTAGCAAAGCAGAGGCAGCATTACAAAGGCTGAGCAATTAATTGCATTTGCAATATAATCTCAATTTAACATAATGCAACTTTCAAATTGTTGACGCTCTCAGCTTTGGTGGCATTATATTTAATATAAGACACCGACTTTTTCACTCCAGCTTTTTAGGTGTTGGTAATATGCTTACAGTGGGTGTGCACAGATGGGAAGAGAGAGCTACAGCCAGCATGCATGCAAGTATAACATTGAAGCCCTTCGTGGCAAACATTCCAAAAATGGGATTTTAGGTTGCACCATTGCAGTTAAGATAGATCACTACATCAGTTAGGAAGATTGAAGGACTTACCTGCCAGGAAAAGTCTGATTGGAATTGATTCTCCTTTAACTGGAGCACCGTCCATGATCTCATACTTTGCAACCGTTTCTGTCTCTGTGGTAGTGCTGGGACCTAAAAGAGGCAAAAACAAGTTAATTAACTAAGGTCAATAAACCTCTAAAGACTCTTATTTTACATAAAAAAAACAACAGCAAATTAAAGACGACAAACAGGGGGTCTTGATAAAGTTAATTCTTGTGATTGATTGACTTTATTAATCTGACAGTGGAGAAATGCACTCGTTACATCAGCTCAAATAGTCCATTTCATTGTTTACATGCAGATGCTTTGGACTCATACCGATGCCTGTGACCTCCTTCTTGATGAGCTGCAGCTCCATGTGCTGGATCTTGATCCTGACCAGGAGGAAATAAATCTTCCCGACTATCACGTCCTTCAGGTGATATCTGGCAGTGACAACAAAAAAACCTCCTCAAACTGATTGAAAACCAAAACAAATTTCATCATAGAGTGTAACCAATCCAGATCTTACTTGGATTTATTGTATTCAAACTCGATGTGCAGACAATCCTCAATGCCGACCTCCATCTTAATGGAGTTGTTTACGTCTGGATAAGTGGCCAGCTGGTGAACAATTAACTCATATTCTTTCACTAAATCAGACAAAGGGCGAACAATTGTCACCCGGAGGAAATACCTGTGAGAAAAACAAGTTATTGTTAAAGGCAAACTGTTTTTCTGTTAAGTGCTAACAGCAGATTGCTCTAAATCTTAGCTTAATTGAATATTGGGACTTTATAATAACAGATTGCTGATATAAGGTTAAAATTATATCTTAATACTTAGTTGTATTTCAAATAATACTACTAAAAGAAATGAAACATAAGAAAATATGAAACATTCTTCACACTGTTTGGTTTATGCCTACAAGCAGAACTTGTTACTCACCATAACCACTGTTACCCTCAATGATGAAGACAATAAAGTTCTGTTATTTGCATTTGTATCAATGCTTTATCAAAAATCTGCTTCCCATAACAAAAACTTTTTCCTAAACACTGTGACTAAGCCCAAATTATTATATTCATCACATTTCTTTACTTTCAGCAGAACAAACCCAGTCAGTATTTACTGACTTCCCCACCCCCTGTTAGAGCAGCACAGCAAGATAAGCTTGCAGCAGATAATGTTTAGAGATAAACTCTGCGACCAGCAGGCCAGATGTTTGTATTTCTGGAATATAACAGGCGCACAGAAGCAACAAACCAACCAGATTGAGTCCAGCTGTTACTGTTGTACCTGAGTCTGACGTTTGCTCCGGTGTACGACTCATAGGGCTTTTCCACCTGCATGAACTCAAAGTCGTAGCTTCGGTTCTGGGTTAGTTCTCCAGGCAAAGCCAGCTCTTTCACCAAGTCCACAAACTCATGGGTATTGCTCTTATCAGAGAACAGCTCTAAAATAAATGACAACATAACATTTAAGAAATTAGCATCACTGTTTTTTTTTTTATCTTGAATGTAGTTGGCTTCTGCTTTGACTTTACTGTTCTTAACATCCCCTGCTAACTCATCAGCTGAACTTCTGTGGAACAAACAGAAATAGATCAAATTTGGATTCTATTCCCTTGTCCGATAAAAATAATTGATCAAAGGTAAAACTGACAATAAAAAGAGTATTTCCAGTCAAAATGACAAGAAGCACTTATGACCAGCCCCTCCCTCCTTCTTTTAGGAAATGTTGAAAATAAAAGCTGGAAAAAAAGTCCAGAATAGAACTATGATACAATAGAGAGACTATGTGTTATTTTCCAGGCTCTTTCAGTCCAAGCAATTACAATTATTCCTCTGGTTGGGGGCAAGATTCCTGCACACGACAACCACATGTTTAATCAAACTTTGGTCAATGCGTTGTCATGTGAATAAACCTACAGAGAAAGGAATGTGGTCAGTTAAAACAGGCGCTGTGTACTGGCTGCACACATATATTGTATTTTTCCTGCTTAACAGAACACTGCCATGGATCACTGCATATAGACAGAAAGTTTGCCATCCTGTCTTTTTAACCCTGTAAATCATTTTGAAAAACAACAAACAGAATTCACCTCCAGCCTTTTTTTTTTTTTTTTGGAGATGATGAAAAAAACAACAACATAAAACTGAACATAAGTTCAGTTTTACATCTTATGGTCGCAACAGAAACAAATCCAGCCGTGTTTGGTCTCTTTCAGCTTATATCCATGCAGAGAACATAAGCCAGTTAGAAAAACATCGGTCTAAACCATTTGTTAGATTCTCAAAGGCACAAAAACTGCAGTGTAACTTTCAATCTTAAGGGAAGAAAAAAAAAACCTGACAATTTTTTTCATGTAATCATTTGTTTTCAAAGCGCAGGGAAGCTTTTGATGCTTATTTATGGCAAAGTAGGAAGAATTTAGGGCTGGATGATACAGCTTAAAAATCTAATCTCCAATTTTTTTCTTACCAAATCTGATGAATTTTTTTTCCACCTAAGTTTCATAATAAAAATGACAAAGGGTAACTGTTGCTTCATTCTTTCTGGAAGGTGACTTTAGTTTAATAGGTAACAAATAATCATGTTTCAAAACAAACAAAAATGTGACTTACTTAAGGTCTGCAGTTAGTTGTATGACACAGCAAGATAGTTTTATACATAATAAGAACACTTTATCGAAGAATAAAAGGTGATCAACTGACGTCTCTGAGCTATGCAAGCCCAATGAGTGGATTTTTAGAGGAAAAAAGTATATATATTTTTTTATTCTCCAAAAATGAAATCTTCCTAAACAGAAAATGTGATTAAACGGTTTCAACGATTAATCCTGCAGCCCGAGAAGAAAGTAAAACAGAGTTGAAACCCATTGAGCATGAAGAATGTGTAAAGATTTCCACAAACTTCCCACCCGATCAGATTCAACCTATAAAAAGATACATCTACACACCTGAAACCATTTTGCAGCCGACAAAACCATGGAAGTCTGCAAACAGTCCCTCCACAAAAATGCATGGATATAGTCAGATATAAACTGGTGAAACATCCTGATTTTTTTAGTTGACATGTAAATGGTCCTGAGCAACTATTACTGTATAACTGTGTTATTTATGTCCTGCCAACTATGGCTTGCCCAGCCTACATTTTCAGAATAAAAATTCTGCAGGAAAAAAAAAGAAAAAAAAACACTATTTTATTTTTGCCTGTGTATCTGAGGCCATAGCTTTTTAGCAGGTCTACTTTTAGGAAATCTCAATGTAGAGGTACAAACTAGGTCATGTGTTCTCTACAAAGAGCCCAGAACCTAATATGTCCCCCAAAGGGCTCCAAAAGAGGCATGGATTTCAATAAGGACGGGCGTTAGGCATTTTTAGAGAAAAGAATTCAAGATATGCGAGTTGTAAGTCTCTATAAACATTACAGCTGAACCAGAACACAGTAAATCAACAACACAATGTGAGTTATATGTTCTGCCCCAATAGGCTCACCTATCTGTCCAACAAACTCGATGCGGATGCCTTGATGCTCCAACCGTTTCCCTCCCTGCTTCACATTTAGATTCACCTGTAGAAAAAAATTGTAAGAATCAATTAATCTTATGTATATATATATATATATATATATACATTTTTTTTTAACAATTAAAAGTGGCAGCAATTAATGTCATATTTTAAAATGGCCTAGTATTTTTTTTAACCTATATATACATATTTTAAAACCCTAAAACAGCTCTGACATTTGCTGTGTATCCATGCTATTTCCATCTCTTTTTAGCTGAACATATTTGGCTCTGTCATTACAGTTCATAATCCCCTTTTATCATTTTGTCACTTTCCAGATTAACTTGCTGTGTATCTGACCGTGCTTCAATCTCTACCTACATGGGGAAATTAAACAAATCACAACAAACTATTTGAAGTACATCTCCATTTTTCACTCATAATGGAGTGCAGGAAAACCTTATTGTCTGACACTAATAAAACATTTTAAAATGTTAGGAAATTATTTTAGTTTCATCAGGAGTCACTTTCAGGCATATCTTTCAGGATTCGGAAGCTCCAGATGGTAACCAGAAATTATTTTAATGACCATTTCATGTTTATAATTCCTAAAAAAACATTAATACATACATGGGTTCATTAAATGGGTTTTTCATAAAGAAGGATACGTATGTTTACCTTTCCAGCTACCGACTCTCCATCATAGAACAGATAGTGTTTCTCCACTTTTCCATCTTCTGTCTTCAGCTCTGCAGTTTTTCTGTTTTCTGCATCATTCAGCACCACGTCTATCTCACATACAGGCCCAAACAATCCTCTCAGAAAACTCTTGAATCAGATAAAACACAGTAAATGTTTATCACACAATTCGACGACCACAATAATTATAAGGCATATGCAGCAGATATATTAAAATAAACACATGTAATATTTTAATTACAAATATGGACTGCTAAATGCTTCTTTCCACCATTTGTTGGGGAAGCATCTTTGCAATCCAAATGGTTTGTCTACATACTTTAACACCATGAGAAGTGGGAATAATTCCCACTGTCTCTTGCATTTCTCTCTTATGTCTCTCTCAAACTCCTAAAACTGTAAAGCCAGACTTAAAGACAATGACAGCCTCCGATATTGCCACAACAACCCCTAAGATCAGCAGCTGCATTAACACTTGCTAAGGCATGCAGAAGCTAAACATCTGGAAGCATAAGCTCAGGCATTAGGATGTCAGGAGAAATACAATCTCAGTCAGCTACACAGGAGGAATCAAAAAAGAAACACTTTCTACTGCAGCAGCTAGAAAAAAACAACAACACAGAAAATGTGTTCATGATCGTTAAGGAGGACAAAGATGATTGATTTCTTGTAGGAAACGTAAAGGACTAATGCAGTTAGGGTGCATGTGACATTTCAACTTCACATTCCAGAGTGCTAATCAGAGCAACATTTGCTCAAACTAAGTTACTGCACCAACACACCGATTATAGGCACATTAATAAAGCTGCTGCTTTAAAATTTGGTTGACAGTACAGCTTTAAAAGCTGAGTATTTGTTAGACAGCTTTAAACATGCGTGGAAAATGACTTAATTCCGATGCTAATTAGCCAAAAACCCGAAAAAGCTTCTCTCTGTCAAAGTTACATTTCTCATGTCACATTCACTGCAAAGCCTCTTGTGCGCTAGATTTATTGGCGTTAGTTTGAATTTAAAAAGCAGTCCCTGCCGTGTTTTCCAAAGACTGAAGCTTTGGTTTTAGACTCACCATCTTTGCCAGTTGAAGCTAACAGCTAGCCTCCCTCTGTTTGGCCTGACGGGCTGCAAGGAGCGTAGTAGCAGGTTTCCCGTCACGTGACCAAAGTAGACTGATTGTGGGCGGAGTCCGAGAAAATAAAATAAAATAAAAAAAAGAAGAAAATAATTTAAAGTAAAATAAAACAAAGGTGTGTTTTGAACTACAGAAGTGTATTGCATTCACCTAGATATAAAAAATTAATAAAACACTAAATTTACGACATAAAACCATCTATTTTCTGTCACTCATTATTCCAGCTGGGGTTGCAAGGTGCTGGTGCCTATCTCCAGCTGTCTAAGGCCACCCTGAACAGGTTTCCAGTCCATCACAGGGCAACACAGAGACACACGGGACAAACAACCATTCACTCACACCTAAGGAGAATATAGAGAAGCCAATTAACCTTACGGTCTTAACAGGTTTTTGGACTGTAGAAGGAAGCCGGAGTACCCAGAGAGAGCCCATGAATGCTCAGGGAGAACATGCAAACTCCATGCAGAAAGACCCCAGGCCAGGAGTCAAACTCAGAACCTTCTTGCTGCAAGGCAGCAATCCAGCCTGCTACACCACTGAGCAGTCCATGACATAAATCAAAACATATAAATGTATAAAAATTGTATCTTTTTCTGAGCTAAAGCGATAGCTTTTTATAAGAGTAAAATATGATATGTAATAATATATATGATAATATAAAATAGGAGGAGGGGGGGGGGTGTGATGACCCTTGTGCTGCCAAGGGTCATCACACCCCCCACCCCCCCCTGGACATCCTATGCAAAACATTACCTATTGACACTCATGCAATATTCCACTCTCTCACTGTGCAATAACACATGCTAACTACTGTGTAGTCTGTGTAATATTTTACTAATTTTATAAGGTCAGTACATCTCTGCAGTACAAGTGCAATAATCCAAGTCAAGTACAAGTAGTCTGTAATATTTCAACTTATTTATAAGGTCGGTACATTTCTGCAGTACAAGTGCAATAACCCAAGTCAACTACTAAATGGCGTAATGACACCACAATAGGCCCGTAAGCAACATTATTTGGCCGGGCCCCATATGAATCAGAATCAGAATCAGAATCGAGTTTATTGCCATTGTTAGTGAAGAGGTTCACAACTAGGAATTTTTTGTGGTACAGTCGTGCAACATGAAACATATATGAAATAGTAAATAAAATTATAAAAATCTCTAAAAACACTAGGGTATAAGGCATGCAAAAAATATACTAATATATACACTTAAGATAAAAATATGGATAAATATAAAAAGTAAAATGTACAAGGTAGTGCAAATAGAGCAGTGTGCAATACAGCAGTGTGAATGGCATGGGCAAGTTATGGAGTCTGACATATAGTGTTCATGAGTCTTATGGCAGAGGGGAAGAAGCTGTTTTTATGGCGGGAGGTTCTGGTCCGTATGGACCGTAGCCTCCTCCCTGAGGGGAGAAGTTCAATCAGTCTGTGTCCAGGGTGAGAAGGGTCGGCTGTGATGCGACCTGCACACCTCCTGGTCCTGGAGACATACAGGTCCTGGAGTGATGGCAGCTTACAGCCGATCACCTTCTCAGCAGAGCGCACAATGCGCTGCAGTTGGTATCTGTCCCTGGCGGTGGCACCAGTGTACCACACGGTGATGGAGGAGGTGAGGATGGACTCAATGATGGAGGTGTAAAACTGCACCAACATCCGGGTTGGCAGCTTAAGTTTCCTCAGCTGCCGCAGAAAGAACATCCTCTGCTGGGCCTTCTTGACGAGGGAGCTGATGGTCGGCTCCCACTTGAGGTCCTGGGTGATGGTGGTGCCCAGGAAGCGGAAGGACTCCACGTTGGAGATGGGGGTAGGGCTGTCTGTGAGGGCAAGGGGGGACGGTGGGGCTGTGACCTTTCTAAAGTCCACGATCATCTCCACTGTCTTTTGGGTGTTCAGATCCAGGTTGTTGCTGCTGCACCAGGACACCAGCCGGTCCACCTCCCTCCTGTAGGCAGACTCATCACCGTTCGAGATGAGCCCGATGAGGGTGGTGTCGTCCGCAAACTTGATCAGTTTCACGGACTGATGGCTAGAGGTGCAGCAGTTGGTGTACAGGGAGAAAAGCCAGGGGGAAAGGACACAGCCCTGGGGGGATCTGGTGTTGATGGTCCGTGTGTCCGAGACAGTTGTTCCCAGCCAACATGTGATAAAGGTTCAGGATACGGAGACAGTTCCATAAATTGGCCAAGAAGAAACAATTATGAAATTCTCAGTAGTCTATGATCACACATTACACACGAAAAACTAGTGACTGCGGGTCTTAAATGGAACCACTGGTGACAGCGCACCACCACATGTTACAGACGTCACAAGGTCCAAAAACTAATTTTAGGGGGATGCTTATCCAATGTGTTTGGTATAAATATGGTCCAGTGTTTTCAATAATATCAGCATCAGGTGGGTTTAAGAGGAATTTTTTGCACCATTACATCTACAAAGAGACGTCCTAGTCTACAATTGCATAAGTGACTCACCAGGTGTCGGTGATGGGGCCCCTAATGGGTTGTGGGCCCCTAAGCAATTGCTTTCTCTGCGTACCGATATTTACGCCATTGCAACTACTATGTAGTCTTACCTTAGCTCTCTACTGTGCAGATATTTTTTTTATATATATCTAAGGGAAACATATTTTTGGACATAACCTTTTTCTTTTTTATGCTATTTTGTATTATATAAACTCTCTTTATATTTTCTGTTGTATTTTTATCTTTTAGGGTATCTTGCTTTAACTCTTTGTACACTATATAAGCTACTGGAAGCAGTATCTCCCTGAAGGAGTAATCCCAAAGGATAAATAGTTGATTCTAAGTGTAAGTCTATTAGATTTTTTTAATGAAACATAAATAGCAAATGTTTGTGGAATCACAAGCACTGCAACAATTAAGCTTGCAAAGTTATCAGTTGATTAAAAAGCTACTAGGGTGTCTTTCTTCTGCTTTCTGAATCTGGTGTCCCTCTGCCCATAACCACCATGGTAATACGTAGGTAGAATCAACATGGTGGTCAGTGGGAAACAACTTACAAAATCTGACTACTAAGGACTATTGATTTTATTTTTTATCTTATAAAAAATGTGCTGGGGTTATCTAATGCTTGGTGATAGGATGTTGAAACTATGCAGTTGGTTTGGCAGATAGTTTTCACTACATCCCAAAAATCAGAATATAGGAAGGACCACGAATGGATGGTTTGAGTGCTGATATTTCTCCCCAGGATGGTGTCACAGCCAAACAGGAACAGATGAGGAGCAATGACTTAAATATTCCAGCAGATGGCAGTAAAATGCCAACAAGCGCCTGTCTGTAGCCGTTTTTTTTTTTCTGAAAAGAAGAAAACAAACATGGCTTCCATCAACAGCATCGAGTGGAGATCTATCTGCGACAAATTCACCAACGCCCAACATCTGACCGAAACAGAGTCCAGAAAAGACCCAGAAAACGACCCGTTCCGGTCCAAATACAAAGCCAGGGAGCTTCTAAGAGAAATCTACTGCTCCCTGAAGAGCTTCGAGGCCGGGGACGGAGAGGAGGAGGCCGGCGGAGACAACTGCGAGCAGCCGCCCCCTGCTCAGCCACTGGACGGTCAGAGGGAGGATGGGTTCAGCCGGGGCCTCAGCGGAGACTCTCCTGCGGGGATGCGGGCGGCTAAGCTCGGGGCTGTGGAGTACTACCTGGGGGTTAACCACGTGGACACGGAGGAGCTGTCAGCCGGACAGGAGCATCTTATGAACTGCATGAAAATGCTGGAGAAATGCAGGGTGTCATCAGAGAACGTCTCTCTGTTCATCCATGTCAGGGTAAAACTGGTTACTCCCTCATAAATGTTTCTCCATAAGCTCTAATCTTTACACCCCCCCTGTGTGGAGCTCATCAGCTGATGCTGATCATGTGTTTCTTTGTGCTTTCAGAACCAGCTGGGTGTCCTTTGGGCTGGCCGTGATGAGACAGAGACAGCTCAGGGTTTCCTGGAGACAGCAGAGTCCATCTACCAACACTACATGAAGGAGGTGATGCTGATTCCCTCTCAGAGTGGGAAATTGTCCATTTGATCTGAGTAATCTGCAGGTCTTGATAAGCACTGGGGATGTTTATAATCCTCATCCTATTAGAGATTAAATAGCACTGATTTGGAAATATACATTGGCTCAATCAGTTGGATCCTTTTAAGTAAAAAAGTACATTTGTGTCTCTGTGTTTACAAAATCAAAGATTTTATTCAACCAAGCTATTATTATTATGGGGTAGTAGGTAGTGTTAATTACCAGTTACAGGGTAGAATCAATGTAGAAGACAAGGAAAATATTGTTGTATAGCTAAATGAATCTAAACAGATCCACTCTCTGTTTGTTTAAGTTGAAAAAAGGTGCAATTTTCTTCCTCTTAAGTTGAGGTCCATTTCTAAGCAGAGGAGGAGCTAGATGGGGGGCCAGGGGTGGCCACGGCCATCAATGGCGTAACGACACAACAATAGGCCTGTAACCAACATTATCTGGGTGGGCCCCATATGAAGTACAACACCCCATCCGCCCCCCTGCCCGCTTCCTCCCCCGCCACCGCCGCTGCTGCCGTAGACAACCGATAACACACTTCATCATTTCATCATTCTTCACCTTCACTAGACATGGGTATACTTTAGTATATTCTGCTGTAAAATGAGTCTTATCGGGCTACCTTGAGTTTCACAGCCCCCCTCCTCACCCACGCCCTCTACATTCATCTCCTGGTCACAATCTTCACTCACTGTAGCAGCAACGTCCACCTCTGCCTCTTTAGTTGTTTGAAAGAATGTGTATATTTTGGGAAGTTTTTTCCGTTCTTCCAGCAGCTCTTCTTTGCTTTTTCTTTTCTGGAATAAGTACTATAAGTACTAATAAGTACTTCTTTTTGGTATCCATCGTCGCTAACACATTGTACATAACGGTTATGTTTTTAATCAACACTCTGGATTAGCCATACTTCCAAGTCGTATTGTAAAAAGAGACTTTTTTTTTTTAAGATCTTGATTTCAGTTTGACACATATTATGGGA